ACACAGGTACCCCCAGGCCACTTCAGTAATGGAAGTCTCCAGAAACCACAGGGGCTCAGAAGCTGTTGGTACTGTGTCCTTACAAAAATAACTCCTTTCCCTCTTTCAACGGTAGCAGTTGTGACATTTAAGGCCACACGGTTAATTCAAATAATAATAAAACTGCTGCAGTATAAAGTTATAAAAATGTAATGACTTGTAATAAATTCAGTTTCTCTTCAGACATGCAAATTATTCTATTCTAAAGTAGATTACTATCCTTAAATCAAGAAAGATAGTTCTCATAGCTTCTTTAAAAGTAATGGCAATATTGGCAATATTCCTAAACATATGCCCTATCTGAAAAGAGAAGTCATTCATTAAATCTAGTGATATTGTACTGCTTGAAGGGGACATATAAAAAAACTCACTTTTTCAGTACTTGTGCACTAGAGATGCGCGGATTGCAGTTATAGCCGCACGGATCATAAAAATTAACATTCTGATTAATAGTGGATTGGTTGCTGCTGGATGAAATAATGCATAATTATTGAAGAAAATATTGATTTCACTCTCTAAAACATGAACATTTTACTCTGCAGCATATTGCTATTGACGCTGTGGTCGTTTACGCATGAGGAACAGCAGTGTAACTTCTGTTTCCTCTGTCAGGTTCATAACTACAGTTAGCTAATCATCTCTAATCATGAAAGTAAATTGTCAAATAGAACACCCATACATCAATACAACACCATCATTTCAAAAGCAACAAGAGGAGGAGTGAAGTGTCCATGCGGGGGCAGGTCTCTAAATCAGAGAAAATAATAATTTGGGTGGATGGCGTGTGGTTGATATGTGACTTTTTTGTTTTCCCCTCTCAGTAACCTGTCATCCATAACCTGAATACCGTTTTATGAGGTAAAATAACAAAAACCTGCTCAATCTAAACATGTTACTTAGCATCCATTGATTGAATGCCCACAGCAGAAAATCAACATCAGTAAATCTCAGTAATAAAATGACTAATCACGACTATGTAACACAAGCTATTGCAATTAGCGTGATTAGACATACATACATACGTACTATCCATATACGTGCACACACGTTTCCACACGCACGTGCTGACCAAAACCCTTTGCTGAAACGGACACAGCCAGCCAACGGCTCAAACTGTGAAATGTTGGATCGATGCCGACAGCCCTCCGACCTTCCTCCCACCCCCATCTCCCAACACCTCCATTGACTGACAGCTCCCATCAATCTGTGTCTAATGCTGCCTGAGAACACACACGCACGCATGGATCCACTCTCTTGCAAAAATACATACACACATCCCAAACAAAGCACGGGATATGAAGGATCTCACATATAAAATATAAATCCAGTTATAGTTAACCAGTAAGCATATTTTAAAATATTTACTTTTTGCTTTTACTTTTGCTTTTTTTACTTCTAATATGGTAACATAACAGCTTAATAACAGTAGTTAATCATGATGTTTACTTATTCTCAGCACTCCTGATAATGATCTTCCATTATACCGGGTCACCTTGACATCGGGCGATATACTTGACATGCTGACGTGCTGCTTTCTAGTGTGAGGCTAAAAGTAAAAGTAGTGCGATGTGCATATTTTACAAATACATTAGGATATAGATTGTACCTTAGGTACAAGCAGATCTTACTATTGCTTACTTGAAGTAATAGAGTCTGGATTATGCTTTTGTTATCTTACGCTATTCATTTAAGTACCCTATACCTAAGCACACTGTAGTGCCCGTACCATACAGCATATCTGGTGAACTAGAGCTTTTATGTCAGGACGCTTGGAGGGAGTCTTCTCTCAGTTTCTTAAAGAAATCATCGCCTTTGTGAGACATTATGTCACTTCTGTTTGGTTTTCTGAGGAGAAAATGCACATGAATGGGGAATAACACTGAAAGATGTCTTGCTCTGCATAGAAATGAAATGCATTAGTGAGATCACATAACAACTGAGCGAAAAAAAAAAGGGACTCCCTAGAGCAAGTGAAGCTTTTACTAATGTGTCAGACTTTTGTTAATGTACTTACTTATTTTTTCTTTTGACAGTTACACAACGGCTTTTTTACATTACCACGTTGCATCATGGCGGTATTTGTCACAGAGGTCAGATGTGCAAGATGCAGCAGCAATGAAGTGTTCTATAGACTTTGTTCAAAGCAGGTTTAGTTGTGAGTTCTTAACCACACACTAGATAAAGTTGTCAGAGATCACTATTATTCTGTGGTCAAGTTTGTGCAAGAGAGCATGAGGAAGATATTGAAGATCTACATAGTTATGTCATTGACTTAATCCGTGCCAATCTTTTTGGTGTGAATCCCATCTGTTTGGCTGTGTGTTTGAGTATTAAATCCAGCTCAACAAGCAAATTCCTGGAGTAACAAGATCATTTATTTGTTAACATTATGAAAATCTATAAAATTGTAGTTGTTCTTTCAAGATCCGAACTGTATTACCAGATGGTATTTCAATATGTCAGCAACTTAGCAAACAATTTTGCAGTGTTACTGCACGGCGAACGGTTTGCTCTCTGCTTGAAAACAAACGTGCTACTCTCATAGCACACATTACACAGCCGGTGATTAACACATTCATCACAACAAACAGCAAGTATGTAGTTTCATGAAGTACTTCTTCTGTGACATTTCCTACACCAACAAACAAATCAACTGCAAAATCCACAGTCAAAGAGGCCGCACGACTGAAAGCGGAACACAGCAGCGTCTGATGCTGGTTGCCACCTCTCCCTCTCTGTGTCTGTCTCTGATATAGTGCGAGTATATATCTGCCATTGCAGTACCAGTAAGGGCTCCCCTTACACAGTGGGACTTAGTGCAGCACAGGCAAAACGGGCTGTCCTGCCAGTGCTGGCACATCAATACACTGACCGTACCACACACTTAATGTCAGAGAAGATGCTTCTAAATCGGTACTCCATATCATACTTTATAGATTTGCATGGAGGGAAAATAACTTATTTAGAAGTTCATACTGACTTCCAAGTGCGTTGTTGTTCTGCTGCACACAACCAGCGGACGCATGAGGTCATGCGGTAGCAAGTGCAGTGACAGCAAGAGGAGAGTGAAAGGAAGACAAGCAGGTGGTGAAGGAGGAAAATAGCAGCGGAGGAGGACGAAAAGGAGGAAGGTCAGAGGACAGAGGAGGACGGCCAGAGGACAGGCCAGGGGACAGAAAAACAAAGCCAGGTTTTCCGCATGTACTGGAGCTGTCTCAGTGCGGTTCATATGCCTGCGGTAATCTCTCCCCGTCTCCGACCTTGAGCGCTTACCTCAGGACAATCATAACTTACGCCAACTCAACACAGTGAGAGAGACAGGAAGAGAGAGAGAGAGAGTGGGCATAGCGCTGACCCAAGCACATCTCTAGAGGAAATCACCCCCACCCAGGGGGATTTACGCTGCCAAATGCATTAACTTCCAACTGTTTTTTTTGTCCAACACAGCATGCAATCAGGCAAGAAAGCAAGCACTGGCATTGTTTGTCTGATGAGTCTGTACACTACACATCTCTCTATCCTCTGTTAACCTCTTCTGTTGTTTTTTCCTCTCTGCCTTCTCTCCCTTTCCCTGCACCTTGCTGTCCTTTCCTCTCCTCTCCTCTCCTCTTTTGACTGTGCTTTTAGTCTCTTCTCATTCATTCCCACAGTGGATGGATTTAGTTTTGTTCCCCTCAAATTAGTAATTAAAAATTGGCTGCTGATTTGGCCAGAGTAGTAGTGTTTCAGAAAAGATATGGAAATAAAATGTGAGAAAGGGGAAGGAGGGAACGAGAGGACAGAAAAGTGGCACAGTGGACAAAGGGTTGAGAAAAGCTACTTGGAGAGCATTGGTGCCACAAGTCTCTCTTTTATTATCACATTTAACTGTTCACATTTCCAGAGTTGTTTAAAGGGAGCTGCCTAACCCCAAAGGAACAAGAAGCAAACCTCCAAATCAAAAGGAGAAATGATAAATAATACTGAAATATCAATAAATATTTTATTTTTTAAAACTGGACCACATGACTGTGGCAATTATTCTTCATCCCTGCACAGACATTCCCTCCTCTCTGCCTTTCTGCTTGGCAGAAAGAAAACCAGGGTGGCTTCCTCTCAAAACGTTGCAGAGTGTGAGTGCCTATCAAGAATTAATGACGCTTTTCAGACAGGAACTTAACAAGCCATACTTATCAGGCATCTCAAAAGTACGACTCCTGCTGCTCAATAAGCTCGGGCTTTCAAATTATGATGAATGAGTTGCTGAAAGTACCTGATGAGTCATCTTAGATTAGCACTCGCAGTTTGATTTGAGATATACAATGTTAAGGCAAAAAGACTTCCTCTACCCCCAAATGCGATGAGGCAAACGAGGAGCTGCTGAGAGGAGAGTTGAGCACATAAAAGTTGAATTTAGATCAGTGAGCAAACTACATTTTCCTTTTAGCAACTTCAAGGGGTGAGATGACGCGAATGGAGGCTTGACAGTGTTCTTCAGTAGGCAACACCTTTCTGAATGCACCTGCAAACACAATCCGGAGCTTTCTTTAATGGCTGACGGCCTCCCTATGGGTCTGTGCAGTCATTGATTTAATGGCCAGGATACAATCACCATAAAAATCAAATGGGTGACACCGAGCGCACTACAAAATCATTCAAAAGGCTGCTATGGCTGATGGTAATCACAGTGTTAAATATAAGCCTTTGTGAAGACGATATGCGGCAGTGGAAATCATTCATAGTGTACTTAAAAGTTTACACAGCAGCTTTTTGTTTACATATTAAGGAATGGAGGTGCATATTTGATCAAAGTCAATCAGGGCTCAATTTAGGGCCGTCTGAAGTCAGTTTGAATTCAAAGAGTAGCTAAAGTAAGTACCTAAACACTGTAGAAGTTTATTTTCCTTTTACAGGAAACCTTATACAGACATAAGTGATACACAAACATGTGCTGTGGAACCACACGAAGCACGTCGGCTTACCAGAAGTTGACCAGGAACGGATGCTCAAGGTTCTGCATTATCTGCAGCTCCTTCAAGACATTCCTCACTTCGTTCCGCTCCACGCATTTCAGCTTGTTCATGTACTTCATGGCGTACATCTTCTTAGTGTCCTTCTTCTGTACAATGCAGACCTGATGATGAGATCACACAAGGGCAGTTTTATTTCACTGCAGTGGTCAAAATGGTCTGAATAGTTATTCTGTTCTGCTTGTGTGTCTCAATCTTATGCTTCAATACTTTCAAGGTTGTTAATAGTGAGTCATATATTGCTTCCTGCAAACTCTAAACAGATGATATATCCATACAAAATGATAACGTAGTCCTTACTGCCAATGTGATAACACATTAAACATCACCACTCCTCTGCATCATTCCTTCATGCTTTGTCCGTACATGATCATTGGTAAGTTATGTTGCATGACACATAGAAAACTGCTGCTTATCAGTATACTTTCAAAGATGCTTCAACAGATTTGTGAGATTTATCATTTCACCAGATTTCAAAGAGTAATAATTGATAGAATGCTGATGTTCTGTTTTGACACGTTGAAAAACAATGTACTTTTACAAACTGTTGCAATACAGTCGGGTATTTTCCATCATTCATCCATGTTTGTCTTGAGCTTTATCGCTTGTGACACATGAAGTGCTATATTGCAATAACCATCCAACAAGGCTGGAAGGAAACTTTCTCTTTAATCTCTGCGATCAGGAATGTAATCCTCTCTTAAGGCGTTAAACTTCTCACACCCGTATGTTTTGCATCTTAGAGATGGGAAACGTCATGCTGGCATTAGAATTGCCCGGTGCGTGTCAGTCATATATACGTATATATATATATATATATTTCAAAATTGCATAAAAAATGCTTTCAAACAGCACTCAGTGTATTTATGTATCAGTGGGAAAAAGTAGCAGGATTCTGATGTGATGCAGCAAAACACAGAATATAACACCTGTAGCAATCTGGGCAGCTGTCATTACAAGTATAAATCAAACTGTATGTGATTACCCCCGTTCGACAATGTCTCTGAGAATGGACACTATTTTCAATATGCCGAGGAGTAATATTCCATATTTATTGGTGGTTACAAGCATCAATAAGCCAGTGATTACTGCTATCTAAGAGAGTGATCTGTGGACCAGCTGGCACAGTTAATCAACCAAACCCCGATCGCATCACTCTTCCCAATGAACAGCTTGCCATCTACTGTGATTAGACTGCTTATCTGTTGTTGGAGGGTAGATGCCTTGAGGGTCTGCGATCAGAGTATACATGTGCGTGCGAGTGTGCGTCGCTATATGTGCTTACATGTGCGTGCGAGTGTGCGTCGCTATATGTGCTTACATGTGCTTGCGAGTGTGCGTCGCTATACGTGCTTCCATGTTCTGTGAGTGCTGTTGTGGATTACTCGGCACTACATGTCTTAACAACAGGAGGAAACACGATCGCTATCATGTGTTTCAGTAGAGCTGTTGGTTAATCTCGTGGAAGGGCAAACTAAGATAATATTGTACTGACGGAGAGGGGACATGGTATATTGTATGTAACATCTTGCGTCTAATGTGCAGCATCGAATACGCGATGAACAGCTGTTGTCCCGGTTTATGTCTTCATTAGAGTGTCAGTGCTTGTATTGTGGTGTTAGAATGTCTATCAAATGTTGTTTTGACGTTTGAGTTATATGTGTGTTTTGTAATTTACGACATGTTTTGCAGTTCATACTAAACCAGTTACCCCTTTCGATATTTATAAATATATCTATCATGAAGCTGATTCCAACTTTTGAGTAACATGAGGACACTATTGTAAATACAAACTTACTTTTCCGAAGCTTCCTTTTCCTATTGCCCTCAGGATCTGGAAGTGGTCAAAATTCACTGCGAGAGAGAAGAGTAGAAAATCTCTGTTCATTTTTGTTAAATACAAAACATACATTTGAACCTGAAATCTGTAATGTTCCTCTTTAAATTACAGTACATTTTTCAACTTAACAGGATCAATATTAGATATCAGTGGAGAAATTGATGGAAGACTAGGACAGAAGGACCACCACTTTCTTGCCCACCTTGCAGGTGTTGCTGTTGAAGCATTTTATTAGAATTTTTGGAATGGATCTTTTTCCAAAGAAGAAAGAAAAAATATTTTATAAATGATACTGAGATATGGTTTATTTTAACCAATATTTTTTTTCTTTCCAAAGTAGAGGAGCAACCTCCTCTGCCTCTGTGGACCAGCCTCCTCTGCTAGATACACATATATCCTGTAACATTTGAAAAGTTACAGAGAGATCAGCTTTAAATACATCATCTGTATATGTATAAAATGCCACTTTAACCCCTTTAAAATATAAACTTCATCTATTTCTATAAATACAAATAGATGAATGCTAAGTGTCAGTACAGTTACAGTAGGTTCACTGTGAGATTACCAAGCTGAAGCCAATGGAGGTATCCACACTTATTGAACATGATCACAGACATACACAACCTAAAACGGAGCTGAACTCCCCATCTCACTCCCCTCCATCTATCAGCAACATTTATTGCCAATTGGAGGCGGATGGGGCTGTTTATTCCTTGCTACTATGACTACCAGGACAGAAGGTTTTCTCTCCCTGTCGTTTCCCCGAGGATGGAACAGCTGGTGCCCACTTATCTGACCACACACACACACAAACACACAAAGAAATGCACCCATTTATTCACAATGCATTCACAAAAATACACACACACATAATGGACATAAACTTAACCTGCTTCTCTTGCAACAGTAAAGCGTGCACACTCACAAGCACACACACAGACACACACACACGCCTATTTTTCCTGCAGTCACTAGATCTATTGGATGTGACAGTTAATGTTATGCTCTGTTAGTCACGTATCACTGGCACTTCCTCCTCTCACACTATCTGTGTTGGAGTGTTTACACAACTAACTCTGAAAAGGACCATATGAGGCCCGCTTTATAATGCACAATCACACACACATGCACGCATAGACTTACAGATGATGTATAGCTTACATACAGACACACACTCCAGATAAACATGGTAATTTTCCTGCTGAGCTACTCGGAGATTCTACTCTGATGGGTTTTTCAGAGAGACAGCTGTGGTCGTGGATCAGAGGGCAGAGCTCTGTGATCCTAGAGAGAGAGAGAGAGTTTGAAGCAGTCATACAAATAGAGAGAGAGAGAGAGAAAGTGAGGCAAACAAAGAGTGGGAAAGTGTGAGATGGGGAATGTCATATTTTACCAGCAGAACTCTGAATGGTTTAATGCGCTGTATTGAATGATGGACACATAAGTAACTGAGCGTGTAATGATTGAAATCTGCACATGAGTGGGATTGACACATTGACAGTCTTTCCATGGCTTGAACTAATTGAGGAAACCATCTGACTGAATAACTAGTCAATTTGAATTTGACTGACGCATGCTAATCGGTTTGTATTGAAATAATCAGCGTATCTCGCGGCCTCAGTGTGACTGCACTGTACCGTATGTCTATGCCTGTCTTTCTCTGTCTGTCAAAAGTAGTCTCTGTCTCTGAGTATGTCCACACTACGCCAACACAATTTTGAAAAAAGCTCTCCGTGTTTGCTCTCTGTCAACACTAAACGCTCTGAAATACTCAAAAATAGGCACACGGGTGGTTTTGGACATTTTTTCTTCTGTATGTGAATCTCTGCAGAGATGTCCACATGGGCCCTTGCGAACATTAGCAAATGTCTGCTCAGACATGAGACTTTTAATTTGAGCTTAAGCCGGTGTTGTTAAAACCCGGAAACGGTCTGCCGAGTGTATAAACCTGGAAATGACAGCTGCAAGTTTTCATGTGGACAAGAAAGGCTGTTCTTTTAGAAAACTATGGAATGAGCCTGGTTGAGGTTACTGCAGCAATAAAGTCAAAATAAACTTTCTGTCTCCTCTGACCCTCCTTGCGACCACTTATTTGTAAGTATGAGGCTTGTGTTTTTCTTTATTTTTCTTACTGACAGTTTCTCAATACTTTCCAACTTTGCTACCCTGTCTGTTGCACTCAGCCCTAAACACATTCGATCCTTCTGAAGACATAAATCTTAAAAAAAAAAAAGAGAATGCTTTTAAAGTAATAACTAAAACCAGCTGGGCACTGTTGTGAGTATTGGGGTATGTGTCTTGTGTCGTTGTGTCACAAAACTTTACAATCATAAAAAAGGATTTTGATTGACGACACTCAAGTCACTTCATATTCATTTTGTTGTACAAAAACTGAAAAATATGTAAATGAGGGGCAAATAAATCATGGGTTTGGTATACTCATATAAACACAGTATACAAGAGGTGATTACAGAAAGCACATGGGAACTAAACAGAGTTTAACTAGCTGAGTTTTATTGTGTTGAACAAAGAAAGAGATTTGGCCATTTTCCTGTTGTTTAAGTGTTTCTTTGTGAAAAACATACATGACGTTTTTTCAAAATTAGCCAGCTCATTGTGGTCGCACTGTCTCACTGTTTCCCACTCACTCTCCGCCTTTGTCACAGAAGCCACTTAAGGACCCACCAACGTGGGAACATCAGCGCTCACGCTGTTGCTCTGACAACTGAAACAGAACCCATGGGTCCATGTGCCACCGTGATGTGAATAAAGCATGATCAGTAGTAAACAGGGTCTGTCCATTAACCAGAGTGTCCTGGTTGCACAAAGTGGAAAATCTCTGTAGCACATTAGGGAGCCAATGTCGTACACACATCATTCTCAGAGGAGATAAACATGTCTTGACAAGTTCACCTTCATGCGTGTGCCTTTCTATAAATCAACTAATATGGGTTGAACAACAAAGTATACACTGACTCCAGCAAGGAAAGCAGTCTGTACATTTATTCTGCGGAGAAATTCTGATTATTTTCTGGGAGAAATTTAGTTTTAACATTTGAAGTTTAGTTACAAGATTGTCTTGGTCCTTTTTTTAAATTTATGAGTACATTTTTTTACCTGCATTTACAATGTAGACTACAAAATAAACACTAATGTATAACATTGCCATGATTTAAAATGTAGCTTTAACTCTACAAAAGGACTTTCATCCACAGCAGACTACAATATGCCACAAAAGCAGCATTAAATGATTAGGTGCATCACAATCTCTCTAAATGTGTTCTTATATTAATCTTTTGTGTGTAAAATATGTGAGCGAGACACATTTTTCCGAACTTGCTAACTAAAAGTAAGGCTTAAAGGGCTCAACCATTTGTGTAAACTGTTCTTCACAACTTTACCACCAGCTATATTCAAAGTTTTTCAAAGCACAGAAACTATGGATGAAAAGGGTTACGGACATTGAAAATATCTTTTTGAAATGTCAACATTTATTAATGTTCACCATTAAATTAACAAACAAACAAAAATTCCACCTCTGTGGCCAATATTACCCTAGTCGTGTGAAGTGAAAACTACATTTGCATCTTTATTGCTTCTCAGAGGGGTGAGTGCGTGATGTGTCCTCACCATGCAGTGACCCACCTCTGACGTCAAAAGGAGAATGCTGCCTATGTCTGACGGGAGTTTCATCCGTGAGGGGATTACTTTGTTTCCAGTGAGCCGGCCTTTTTCTAATTCATAACAAATGTGTCTCTGTTTATTATTCCCCTGCCCTCGGTGAAATCGCCCACGCTGTTTTGCGAGAGAGGAGTGAGTAAAGTGCGCTGTTGCATTAACTCGAGAGTTCAGAGACGCTCTGTTATGAGTGACATTTCCAGAACAGCACGCTAGATGACTAATCAGCAAGGTTAACCGTGAATAATGATTTCCTCTTTGACAGAGGTTTGCCTCCAGTGGAAAAGAGAAAGCCACAGATATGGATTTCATCAGGTGGAGTGAAATTTTTTTGGAGATTTGTTTGAAATAACTGGAAACTCAAATGATAACGAATGGACTCCATCGACTGAAACTGAAAACAGATATTTTGGTTTACAACTTCATAAAAAGAAACAAATGTATCAGGTCATTTGGGAAACACTATACAACAAAACATCTACAGTAAGGGAACACCAACGAAAGCCACCTGACTTCTGACTAAATCACTGTTACTCATGTAACACTGACTTATTAGAAGCCCTTGGGGGGCAGCCAGAGTGGAATTAATTTCAGAGACTGCCTCAGATCGATACATTCACATTGTATTATCTACTCAAGTCTCAAAGAAAAGGGAAATAAATTCAAACAAAGCTTTGCCAATCAAAGTCATAACTCTGTTTGATGCTGACCTTGATGGCGAAAAAAGAAGAAGATAATAACCTGGCAAAATTCAAGCAATTTTCAATAATCATGAATATGAATACTTCACCGTGGAAGCCAAATGTCCAGAAGAGTTTCATGGATATCTTTTATGCATTTTTATTCTATTCTATGCCCTCTACTATATGTTTATTTGTGTAAATACACACTGCTGTAGCTATATCAAAGGCAAAGTTAAACTGTGGCAATAGCAAGGGGTATCCCCTCGTTTACAATTGCTGAGGAAGACTCGTGGCAGCCCTGATCAGCATTACATCAGTCAGAACCGTTGACTGTAAGTGCACTTTACTTTCTTAGCTAATAGGAATAGCTTAACACACTGATAAGGCTGCAGATAAGGCAGTCAACTTGTCATTGTGTTTAACCCACGTTCCCTGTTTACCTTCACTAGATTCCAGGTCACACAAGTAGAGAAACAACAGAGAATGTCGGACGTGTTAAGACTCACCGTCGTCTGTGTCCTCGGTGACTGGAGCCTTGCTGGACTGTCCGAGCCCCATGGCTGCTCCTCTCACAGATTCTCCTGCTCTGCTCCCTTAGCTCAACTCAGCATTGAACGGCCTCTCCCTCTGAGACGCACTCATAGCCTGGTCAACACTAGCCCCTCACGCACACACACACACACACTCACGTGCTCAACTGCGTATCCCTGACACACACATACGCAGCAGCTGGCTTGGTTTTGCTGACTTGAACGGGTCCCGACTTCCTCTTAACTCTCCACCTTGACACAACCACACATCATTGCACACACACAGAGTGGAGGGCTTGGAGGAACACTAGAGGCACTGAAGCCCTGACACACACACTCAGAGGCAGTACCGCTACAGTGTAAGTTTCCCGTCTGTCGTCACTGTCGTTTAGATGAATGCAGGCAGACGTACGACTCTCGTCAGGCAGGAGGTGGGTGGATTATGTGTTTGTGGCTTTGACCCTCTGTTTACTGAGAGTCCAACCTGTGAGGGGAGGCAGGAAAACATGACACCACCAGCAGAATGAGAGAAGGAGGGACAGGGAGGGAGGGAGGGACGAACAAGTAGAAAGGTAGAGCCTCTGAGACATGAATGGCTTGTACAGGGCTTCTAATGATGACTGGAAAGACTGACACATAATTTTCTTCAATCTTAAAATACAAAAAGAAAAAAAAAACATGGCTCTGAAATTCATATCCATAATAGTAGCACTTATAGCAGTAACATTAATATTAAGGTCTTGATTAGTAATCAACTTGATTAGCGCACATGAGGTAAAATTACTTTCATTACTAATTTTACATATTAAGGTCCCCTTCCTAGTTCCTTTCCTCCTTCCTTCATCTGTCATTTATCAATTATTTAATTTTTACATTTTAATCAGAAACGCATCCCAGTGGAGCAGCGTCTGCAGTGCATGTGTGATGGATGATCGGTTTTCCCATTAAGAGCACAAAATGGGAGTCTTTTGATTTATAGTTTGCTGGCATTGTGTACAGTAAATGGAATCCCTCAGGCTGCCCTCTTCAGGATGTGACATTTCATGAGTTACTACGTTTTGTCCCAGTAGTGGACAAAAAACAAAACAAAAACAGAAACTGCTTGATGAAACATGTATTTATAGAATAAATTCACATAGTAAATTAAATAAATCAGGTGTACATCTTACAATGTTATATTCCTCTTGGACTGTCAGAAAGCAAGTCTGTTTTGAGCTTAGTCTCCTATGATAATACAATATTCATATCACAGCTTTACAATTAGGTTTACTTTATCCTTTAGAACTGAATGACAGCGCATCCCATAATATCGTACAGGACAATGAGTGACTGAACTGAGTAGCTGAGATGCATGCTAGGGTTCAATAAACAAAGTTCAAGTCATCGTAGCAACATTTAATCCGCTAGGGGGAACCCGTTCATGAATGTCATGCCCACACTGTATGATAAGTTCACCACAACATATGTCACTATCCCTTTTGGGTTAAGTAATATATTTATTAAAAAACAATTATAGTGCGTGGATCTGCAGTGCTGAGCTCCCCGCAGAGTACATTGTGCTCGGAGCCCCTTATCTGATCAAACGGGCCAAACATGCGCTGAATAGAAAGACCCCCCCCCACACCCCATGCACACACGCAGGACAGCTGTGGGCACCTACCTCTGAACGCCGCTGGTAAATCGAGCATGGGACCATTTCCAGCCCGGTTTGCTGCAGAGAATCGAGGCGACAGGGGAGCAACAGTGCAGCTCAAAGCGTCACTTGTTCGGTGTTCGGACGACGACGCACCGGGACACCTGCCCACCGCAACAAAAAAACAGAACCACACAGCGAGACGTGACTTGCGGGATGCGCCGACGGAGTGCAATGCGAAATCCCTTTGCTTCTGGAGGACAGAGGACACAGTGACGGGGGGGGGGGGGGAAACTGCTCGGCGCGTTGCACTGGTGAGGGACTGACCTCCACATCGACGCCTGTGTAATGCGCTGGCCACCCGCGTGCGTCTGGAGAGGCACGTTTCATGAGCTGATCCGCTGTAGCTGTGGAGCCGAGGTTCCCCTGTCGTTAGCATTGACTCATCTTAAACAAAACAAAAAAGTTGCATCCCCTAATGAAACGTTTTACAAACACTAGCTTCAAAGTCTTACTGTAATATATATTTAAGAAATATCACGGATAAACTGCCAGTCATAGCCACAAGTTTACTGTAAAGTCAGTTAAACACCGCAGTCCCTTGTTGTGATTTTCTTCTGGGTTATGATCTAAGATTAAGAGACGATTATAAACGGTCAATCACATTTGAACATTTTTATGAGGGTCGCTGGTATAAAAAAAAACAGTCAGCATATAAATGCTGACTGTTAAAATTTCGCATATCCTCACAATACTCTGCTTTGTTTACATCTGCAGGGAATTCTTCATGTTAAAACCATGAGTCAGGGGTCATGATCAGCTGTAGCACAGCGCCCCCTAGAGCAGACCACTGCTTTGCCACTTTGCTTAAGGGCACTTCAGCAGGGCAGATTGTCCACAATGGGCCCCAGATGAGGGGAAGTCTCTTTATAGACGAGCTGAGCCTGCTGTCTCATAATAGCCTTTAAACTTATATGGAAATAGCAATTATACAGTAATGTCTCTCTGGTGTTCCAGTGAGTCTATACAGACCTTATTGTGCTTTTTTATTTGATCTGATTAGGCATCAAGGTAATATTCTTTTAATATTCATATTTAGCGAGATATGCCTCTGTATGCCTAATAGGCCCGTGAGCACAGATATAGAGTGAGAGTTGCCCAAAGTTATTACTTCTCGTCTCATACAGGTCTGTGTTATATCAATATGACCGTGCCTTTCTATAAAGTTGGTATCAAAACAGACTGCTACAACTGAAATAATGTAGTAAACATGAAGTATTAGGTTACTCATACATTTTCAGAAGGAAATTTAAGCAAAAAGTTGAAAGAAAATAATGGTTGAGGAAAGTGGATGACTCCTTACTTACCTCAACAGCTACTGTTACTGTTGGGGTCCTGCTGAGCAAGGCACTTAACTCTTACTCTAATAGAGTACAATGATCTATTTTTTATATGCAATACATAAAACCAGAAAATGCGTTTGCCGCATTGGAATTCGCTGTCTTTCGGGCCACAACTCTGTAGTCCAATCTGTCATCGTACATTAACTTCATGGCCATTAATTGTAAAACACATCCGTCCACGATAAGGACTGTCACTTCTGTCCCCTGTTAATTGAGCAGGTCAAGGTCGAGAGGAGAATGGCTGTGTGGTGGGACAGGAGACATGCTTGCAGCGCACACACTGCACTTTTTCTTCCTCTTTATGCCTCTTGGTCATGCCGTGACACCCTCGGTGCAGGCCATCCATCTTCACACGGAGGTAGGGGACAGACCTTCAACTCTCAACACAGAGGTGACGAGCACCACTCACAAGCAGGACAATTTCTTATCAGCAGTTTGCATCAGGAGTTGCACTCTTCTTTTAGACGAGACAAGTGTCATATCACACCTGGACAGAAACGGATTAAAGCTACATAGCATGCAGGAGGCCTCATCGTGTGCCAATGTTGTCCTAGTTTTGTAAGTGAGTGTATTTTTATGCAAAAGAAAAAGGAAAGAGAATCGGTCATAGATAAATCCTGGTTGTATTAGATTAATATTTTAATTAAGGAAAGAAAGCTATTATATTCAAAATAATGCTTGAGGACACTGGACTGGACTGCTCGGGAGGCTGTAAGGAGTTAAAATCTGTGAAATTAGCCCCATCTAGTGGATAAGTAAGATGTAACATAATGTGACAGCAGCCAGTGTTAATTCAGCTCGGGTCTAATGGGAATATCATTTACAGCATAAATCACTTTCATGATCAATATTATATTGAAAGTATCAACACTACCCTCATCCCCAATGCAGAAATGCTTTATTGTGGAAAACGTGCATCAGGGCACAGCCTTTCTATTTCTATATTTTCCATTTTCTCCCTCAGGGCTGTCTGGATTCTTCCCTGCAGGCAGTTTTATTTATATAGCACACTTCATTTCAATGTGTAAACTCAATGTGCTGCAATATAAAATGCATATGAGAATCATGCAACAATTTCATTCCAGAGGCGCTATATGTGGAGTTGGGAGTTTGGGACTGTGGCTATTGGAGTAAAGTCACCGTCATGTTTTGTAAATCATCATGCAGTGTGTATGTAAACCATCGGTCGATACTCAATTGATACTAAGAGATGTATAGAAACACATCTGGAGTGGTGGAAAGCAACAAAGGGCATTAACTCAAACATTTGATTACAATTTTGAGGTATTTGCACTTTACTTGAATTTCTCCAATTCTTGTTTTTGTTTCTATAATTCTGCTTCACTACAATTCAGAGACAAATATTGCACTTTTTACTCCACTACATATATTTGATAATTTAGGTTATTGATAAATCTATTGATAGATTCAGATTAATAATACAACAAGTATGTCAACAAATACATTATGATGTATAATTGTAGGTTAAGATAAGACAAGACTATCTGATCCCTTGGGGGGAATTCACAAGCTTCTCAGTAGTTTATAAAGTATTTAGAATATCCCTCATCTTTAAAGGCTGCAACATTAATATGAGGTACACATTGATGCATCAATATTTATATTCCAATATAATGATATACATAATTCTGAAAGGGTCCATTCTGCATAATGAGTACTTTTACTTTTGGTGCTGTAAAGTTGTATTGATACTACTTCTTTTGTACTTTTACTCTGTAAGTAAAATCATGAGTTTTACGTATTTCTATACTGTGGTATTGCTACTTTTAGCAATAAAAGGCTACTTCTGACTACTACGGTCACTGCAAATTTTGATTTTGGAAACATCATGCTAAATATTCTTCTCTCTCTGATGGAATTACTAATTTATTTCTTCCCAGTATTAAAACATTTGGAGAAAAATCACAGCTAGCTTTGAATACTCCACAAAGACAAGTGCTATCTTATCTGACACACTGGGTTATCGCCTGTCCTTCCTCTACAGTTCCATCGTTATTTTGGAGTAAACAGAGGGTGTGTTAAAATCTGTCCACATGCATATGTGGCTGCGTGTGTGCATCGCTGACACAATGCGGTAGGTGTCAGGGAGTCATGGCGGTCTTAACCACTTGTTGCTTGTTTGGTCTCTGGTGCCGCTGGTACTAAGCTACCCTTTCTACCCACCGACGTGCTACACCAAGGTGCTGAGCATGGCGTCAGAGCTCACCCAGTGGGCTGCAGATTTGAAGGGGGACCCTGAAACTGTAAGTCAGCTGCTGCGTTGTTACTCTTAGAGATGTTTGCTTTAACACTTAAGTTGTGTTTAGTATCTATTCTTCAATGGTCCTGTGTACTATACTGTATTTTCTATTTCTTTGATGTTCCGCTAGGGTTACCAGCTAGGGCAATATTGAAGATAATAGTTATTTTATTCCTTCATGTATTATCTAGATACAGTTACGCATCAATTTAATTTAATGACATCGAATCAAATAATACGGTAGTGGGCTAAATATGAACACATTTTGTCTCGCTGTCCCAAAATGTTCTACACTGCTCTTCATCATCATGTCCGAGAAATGTCACGGGGTAAGACGAGACCAATGGTCGAAATAAGTTTAATGCATTGAAACTCAAATAGTGCCATCATGATGTAGCTATTGGTGCTATGAAGCAAGTAAGTCGAATTAAATACAGAGATGTATCTTTCGTCATAGGGGCTGTACCTTTGTTCTCGTATGCATTGCCTCATTTGTGCTCTGCAAAGTACACCAATGTCAAAAAAGTAAATATTTTCAATATTAATTCATGTCAAAAAAGAAAACCACTTTTACATTAAGTTTTTACATTAGTTTGCACATAATTCGTTTTTTGTACATTATCTGTACTTTCAATGGACGGCAAAACGGGCTTGTTCTGTGAAAAGAGAAGGTTGTAGAAGTTGTAGTGTTCTTAAAAGTTCATAATATCCGGTAATCATATTTACATTTAATTCTATGTGCAAGTTAATCCTTACTTTAAATAGGGAACATTACATGTAGTCAAAAAGCATTCAGCCAATAAACACAATTCAAACACATGATCAACTGCCAGTGCTGCTGTGATCATATAGGGCTGCAAATGATCATTTTCATAATTGATTCATCTGCTATTTTATTTATTCATTACTTTTTCTATAAAATGTTTCTATTTTCCCGCAGCCCAAGGTGATGTCTTCAAATTGCATGTTTTTTTCTGACATACAGTCTGATACCAAAGCATGATTCAATTATAAATGCTTGATTAATCACTGCTTGATTAATCACTTAGTTGATTATGGTGTTCCTCGTCTGACTGCTTTGCATCACTCAGTGGAGGAATGTATCTAAGTACAATTACTCAAGAACGTACTTAAGTACAATGTCATTGTATCATGACATACTTGTACATCACTTGAGTATTTCCGTTTTCTGCTGCTTTATACTTCTACTTTACTCCATCTCATTGATGACCTGCAACATTGAAAATGTGATAAAGACAGAATAATGTAATATTCTGTCATCAAACTTTGAAAGGGGGCCATTCTAACTACTTTTTCAATCCAGTATTTCTACTTGTTATGGAGCATTTTTAGACTATGGTATTTGTACTTTTACTTAAGTAAAGGATCTGTGGACTAGCCTCACTCATGTCGTTTTCCACATGCTCAACGGGTACAAGTTCACTGCGCCAAATGCGCCACTAGAAGGCGCTATGTTACCGCCTGCACAGGTGAAGAACAAGTTCGTTGAGCCAGCATGAAGTTTGAATGAAAAGAGAATAACATTGCAAATACATTATGATTTTAAAACTATTGATTATGGCGTTGAAGACTTTCAGGACACTAAACTGTAATTATGTATCACCCAAAGTCTGAGTCACTTATTTATTGTTAAATACAAAGCTAAACTATAGACAATACAGTGATGCAGTAGGATGTAAAAGAGCAATAAACTGGGGTGGTAAGAGGTTAATAGCTGCATCCCCTAGAGCTCCACTTGAAGTTTAGTAGCGTTGTTAGTGGCACAGCTGTTCCAGTTCTCGGAGGACACGCGCCGCACCAACCCGGACATGAAGTCCTCTTGCCTCATCAGCGCGATGGTGACGATTGCTTGTTCATTGAAAGAAACTACATTTCCATGACGGTAGCGGGCGGGGTTGTTGAGTAACGAGGTGGGGCGTCTACGCACAGTGAGAAGCAACAAGTTGCTCGGGCGGGCTGTCAGACGGACGGTTACTACATCGTGCTTCCAGCGGCAGGTGGTCACCGCGCGTCCAGCACTTTGTGAATGGGATTGCGAGCGCAGAACCTTCAGAGCACCTGATTGTTATGGACGGTGTAGAGTAACTTTTTTTTAAAGAACTTGCTCAGCTGTCTTTTCATTCACTCGTGAACGCGGAAAGTGAATATTGGTACATTTAGGTGATTTTGACGGCCGTGCGTAATGCTCTCCGTGTAGAGCCTTTTGATACTTTTTTATTTGTATTTTATGTTGTTGCGTTGTTAATAATGGCACTCGCTAGATTAAGCAGAATATTCCGTCTGCCTACTCTTGACATCAAAAAGAAAGTCAAGCAGTATGAGCACGTTCACCGGGACATCAATCCGAACGATCTATGGGAAATTATCGGCGAGCTGGGCGACGGTGCGTTTGGGAAAGTCTACAAGGTGAGTGCGATTTCAAAGACACCCATACCAGCGTAGTGATGCACCCTGTTTGTAGTTCTTAATCATCTCAAACTGTATTGATAAGTAAGACCTGTCGCCAAGTTCAGTAACACTCTGTTGTGACAGAAACTATCTTGAATACTGAAGTTTATAATAAGTCACTCCTATGTCCGCCAAGAAAGATTGTTAGTTTGTCTGAAATATTGTGAATTCTATGCTACCTCACTTTACTTTTTTAAGTTATGTGCGTCACAATAGAAAAACCATACCACGTGTACCCCTCTTTCTTAGCATATAGTTCACATTGTGGAGGTGTGAACAACTTCCGATCACCTGTGGATGCGTCACCATCCCAGCATTGCTGAGATTATGACTAATGTGTCAAGTATGTGGTCCAGAGATCCACTGTGAAACACACTCAGGTGGTCACTGTGCTGTAGAATTTAGGTGTCACAGAAAAGTTTACTTCTGAATGAAATGTTGTTCCTGTTTAGAAAAAAATAATTCTTCTCCATGTTTGTCAAGGATAGTTCACATCCTCTTCATCTTCTGTTTTATTCCTTGTTATGGGTGTTTTTTTTTTTAAGTAACTTGTTTTGTCTCTTAAAATAATCATAGTTTCAGTAAAAAATACTTTTCTTGTTAAGGATGAGGTTTAAAAAATCTCCATACACCCACCCGACTATACGCACCCCTTGCTGTGACTCCAGCGTGAAGCAGCCTCAGTGACAGTGAAAGCCCTCTTCATTAGTTTTATCCAGTCCTCTCCAGCAGCAGCAGCACTTTTGGCTCAGAGACATTATTTAATCTGGATCTGTTAGCATGGTCAGTCCCATCTCTGCGGCAATGCACAGACACTCTGTGTCTGCACTGGCCAGCGGAGCACAGTGAAAGTCTTTGACACAGCTGGGGCCTCAGTGGAAGAAGTGATGCCTTACCAGAGGACTGCACTGAACAGAAAATGTAGTATTTTTATTTTTTTATTTTAGAGGACTCCACCTTATTTAGGTATTTTGTTTTTACTGGACAACATGCAGTGGGTAAATGAAACAGGAGCACATACTGTACATTGGAAGAAGAGTCTCAGTGGAATGGTGACTTGTTTGCACTGAAATGAAAAGAAAATAGTTCCATCTTGCTTCTAGCCACAGGTCTAAATATTATCTAACTTGTCCTATAATGTGTCTTTTGAGCAGAGCGAGCATGTGAGGAGTCCTATGGATAGTTTTTTTGACGATGTAGAGAAAATAAGTGAAGCAACCAGTATGCCATGAAAACAAACAATGCTTTGAGTTGCTTCTAAGAAGCTAAGACAGGTCTGACTTTTCACAAGGTGCTTTAAGTTAGAAGACTCCTTGCAATGTTAGTTTGTAAATACGCAGGGATTCTTTGAATTGAGGGACACACTGTTCAAACTAAGGCACAGGTGATTTGTGGCTTATCGGCAGGTTGAACATGATTCCACTTGAATAACTGCCGAAGCTTTCTACATGTTTCGTGTCCCCACTATATATTTCCCTCTCTTATACAAGTGTCAAGCCTCTGCTTTGGCTTCTGTTTCCTCTCCTTGAGTGGGTTGGAGGAGGACAGCTCCAACACCTGCATCTGTCAGATGGAGGGGAGGCAGGCAGAGTGGGAGCAGATGATGGCCAAGAGAGGAAATCGTGGGACTGCATCGGACGGGGGGGGGGGCGACGACTTCCTCTCGCTGCTCCCGAGTAATCAGCTCGTCCGTGGGAGGGAAAGGTCTCGAGTAGTGGATCGCACATGTTTTCCGTTGTTAAAGTCTGTGATGGAGCAGGCGTGGAGGGAGTCGATACCTCCATCACAAGTGAAATCAGCTGCTTTTCAGATGGTTAGGGGCATGCAACAAATTAAACTGGTGGATCTGTTATCTGTTACAGACAGCAGAAAAGCAATACTCATTTTCTTCATAAAAAGTTTTAATTATTTTGTGGCAAGACCCCCCCCGCTCAGACAGCCTCTTTTATTTGAGCACAGACCTCTTTAACTGTACAGCGTTGGTTGAGACTACAGAGTGCTCCTGTCTAACTGACTCTCTAAAGGTTAATGTCCCTATTGGGAGAATAACAACTCACTTAGTTGCGTAAGGAGAGTGTTACGGATGAATCAAGCCAAGAGTGTTTATATCACAGGATCCAATGAAATGCAATACCTCCCTCAGTTGTCAAATACTTTCTGCTATATTTCCAGAGTATACCCTGTAGGAGCAACTGTGCTTTCCTACTGTTTACAGTCTGTATGTTGAACAAGACGGGATTAACAATACGTTCTCTAACTTTATCTGATCTTTGCCTTTTTTTTGGTTGTAAAATATTGCATATTTTTATCTCTTCAGACATCTGAAAGTTATTCCCATGAATTTGAACTTGCTCTTTGTTATTGTTTTTTTAAAGGCTCAGGTGCCAAAAAAAAGGTTAAGTTGCATGATGCATCCACATCCTGAAACTCAAAGTTCATTCACATGAAAGAGTGAAACATGAAAAACTGATTCAACAGTGCACACATTTTTGTTTTTAACTGAGCATCCTAACACATAATGTGGCAGAATAAAGAAACCAAATGCAGAGTGTTAGTTTTTAAATGTGAGGTCAGTGTGTAAGAGAAGGAAACACAAACGGGCTGTTGTTGACATTCTCAAGTTCTCTGTTTCACAAGGTTGCAGTTTCACTGTTCACCATCCGTGTGGTGGTGTCAGACGGCACGGAAAGACATAAACGCAGTCTTGATAACAGTGCATCGTTTGCAGTTTTAGGTACTCGCTAACTGGCGCGTTATGATTGATTTGTACATTTAGGAAATGCAGCTTCCCCCTTTGACCCGGTTTAATGAGAATATTTAGCACGCTTGTCATGAATGGTCTGACAGCAACCCATTAACCTTACTAAAGGCAGCTGGATTTTGGCCTCAAGTGAACATGTCACAAATTGACAGCATCAGTCTTTTTTTGAAGTGCAACTGGTGCTACTTTTCGATTTAAATTGTAGTTTGATTTGATTGCATTTATCCTGTTTGATGCCGTTTTGGTGCAAATCCTCGACCGACAGTACTGCCTCGAAATCTTGCACAATGTTGTCCACCTCCCTGTAGATTCTTCATTGTCATCATAACCACTTGAGTTACTTGTACGTGAAGTCATAGCACGAGAATGTCTCACTTCCTGTCTACCGGATGTGTCATTGGATGTTTTCTTTGTTTTTCTGCGCTTTCAGTCCATGCATGCTTGCACATGTTGGAAAGAGTGTGTGAAGGTGTGTGTGTGTGTGGCTGCGACTGAAGCATGAAACGGAGGGGTTGTATGGTTCCCCTCACTAATTAATGGGCCACGTGCCGCTGAGCCCATTGCCCTGCTGCCGCTGGAAAAATATTTCCATAGACACGAGCAGGTTGTACGGTTACGCTCCGTCAAATCTCCATTGTGCGGTTGAAAACCACAGTGTATCTTATCCCTGCTGGTCTGTGAGGTAAAGGACGGCGGACTTGCACTGTTGAAGAGGACTTATTTTGTTTACTTAGCCACATATTGTAGAAGTATCGCATTACTCTCGAACATGATGAACATCAATGTGGCTTATGTACAAAATCACAACATGGGAAAACACTTTATTTTTGCTTGGAACCTGTGCTTTTTAAAAATAACTAATTCCTACACCTACGGTTTGAATAACGGGACTTGTCAGAACAGGTCGGTTTTCTTTGGCCTCTGAAGTTATTAACTACCAGATCAGATGTTGCAGGAAACCTGGATTGCTTTATGGCACAAAATATGAAAAGTGTTGACTTGCATTTGACAGACGGTGGAACTCAAAACAAGACTATCCTCTTCAGACAAGTGAAAGAGAGACGCACTGGGTGTCATGACTGAGGCGGTGGAGGCCGAGGTTGCAACATCCTCTTTGCAAAGGAAAGCCACAAGGTTTACATAAAAATGCCGCGGTCTGAATGTAGAACATGGCAGTGCCACGAAGACGTATGTTGGAGTGCCTTTAGTGAGACCACCGTCAGACTCTGGGTCTAATCTCCGGGACCAGCTGGGCCCACAGCTACTGATAGGATCCCTGTTGAGTGGGCGTGTGAGCAGCAAGCTGGGAGTCCTCGCAGTGACTTCATAACTGGCACTTGCAGAAAGCCTCTTAAATTTGAATTTCACATTGAAGCACATTGTAACTGCCATTCACCTGAAGTTAATTCAGATCAGCTCTAGATAGAGTTACTCTTGTATCGGGTACTGTGAAGCTGTAGTCAGGAAAGGGGATCTCATCTATCATGGGGTTCGTGCTTTTGCTTCTCTGATTCATACATATTCTCTTTTTTTTTTTTTTTTTTTTTTTACGATTAAGAATCATTGCAGAAAGCCGTGTAATCGTTTGTTGTTTTCTCTCAAGGATCTTTGTGGCGTCACCATGATTTCCTGCCTCACTGACCTTCTTCATACCTTCACTTCAAGCTTTTCGATATGGGACGTTTTGCAATGTTGATCAAACCGTTCACATCCTGAAAGGACTCGACGCTCTGTCTCAGGGTGTTGAGTTTGAACTTCGCTTGGTGCTTCACGCCCATGCATAAATTCATGCTCACGCAGTCAGCGGGTTGTGTAAGAGACAAAGAATCTTGCTGTAGAGTTGATAGAAGCCACAGACGCATGCGTTACTTTGATTTCTTTGTCCATTTTGAGGCTAGGGTTAGCCATGAGCTAAGATATGAAGGGGACTACTCTACTAGATTTCAAGTCTAACGCTGTTTTTTCAGTCATTTAGGAGAAAACCCCATCCATGTTTCCACCCGTCCACATGCATGAATGCATGCTTTGCTGCCACCAGTGTGCATGTTTACATTTTTTTTTTTTTACTTTTGCCACTGGTATAGCACTTTTTCATGATACATTTTACACTGTATTTCAGAAATTAAACTAAAACTTAGATGATCAGTGTTAGTGTCTTTTTAGGAGAATTATCTTTTAATCAAAACCCCAAAAATGCCAAAAAAAAAACCTTTTTAGATCCAACTTTTACTGTAAAACAAATCCGTAGCTGGTCAACATGCTTGGTTTGTGCACCTTGTTCATCTAAGTGAGAGCTCATCACTTCCACAGGCGTCTGCTGTCAGAGGTGAGGTTTTATTAGCTGCTGTCATTATGTGGGAGCTGAGAACCACATTCCTGTTCGCAGACACATGGGGAGAGCCTAAAGAAGAGGGGCGGGTTACAGGTTTATGACGGGGCAAAGGTCGAGCATACACGCATTCCCCTGAAGGTGTGTGTGTGTGTGTGTGTGTGTGTGTGTGTGTGTGTGTGTGTGTGTGTGTGTGTGTGTGTGTGTGTGTGTGTGTGTGTGTGTGTAGAAAGTATAACACTGTATACGGGCTGAAAATACACGTCAGCATGTGGTATGTTCATTCAACCTGGAGGTGACTGACCCCAGGGAAAGTTCTGAGTTACCAGTTTCAGGAGGTCGTCTGGTCCGTTCACTCTATGATTAACTATCCCTCATTGTTTTCAGTCTGCAGTCTAAATGGAGAAAGACTCCTTAATCTGTATTTTGTAAAAAAAAAAGATGTTGGGAAGCTGATTGTAAAAGTGTTATATTGAGGCTCGGCATGGTAACTCACTGCAGGCTTTTGTACCATTTTGAGTGTGATTCAGCTCTGTGCTTTTTAAGCCAACACACCCACAGTAATCATTAATGTCTCAGTCAGTGCAGACACAGTATTAAACACTATTATTCCTAGCTTGATTTGTATTGAAAAGATTGTGCGTGCTCAATACCAAATGGCAAACACACCACTCAAAGCAGGGAGCCGTGTGCTTTCATGCGTTTTTGTTTGCTTAGTCTGCCAGTACATACAGTATGTTTGTATGCTCACACACGGGTCACTAACATCTGCTTTTTCTAAAGCTCTTCTTGAGCGGCATCCGGCGAGCTTCTCGGTCATGGATTGGGGCCTTCAGACGGGACTGTTAGTGAAAACAGATGGATGAATACATGTGACCGATGAGGGGAGATATAGAGGCAGGGATGACGGGCATATTTGGTGAGGGAGACAAAAAGATGTGCAGTGTGGCGGACGATGAGTAGTGAGGCAGCAGGTTAGAGAGGTGGGCTGTACATATGCCTCACTAAGAAGGGCGGGGGGATATGGCGAAAAATGCATGCAAATAAACTGATGGATGATTGATAGAAAAGCATCATGGATATAGAAAAATGAAAAAAAAATGGATGCACAAAAATGTAGTTGTTGGTGCAAGTATCTTCTTTGTTTCCTTAAAATGTTATCGAAAAGCAAATTGTTGTCTTTTTGGAGGTCCATCATTGTTTTGGCCTCAGGACTGTAATCCTCATTTGTTTATTTGGATATTATAGGTCCTTTCACACTGCAAGATAAAAGGAAACATCTTGGCATTTAGGTGGAAGGCAGTTGATTTATACTTCCACTTTTCTGTTTCAGTGGTCAATGTCACAGCTTGCATGTGGTCTCATCAGATATCGGATATATATAGCTTGGAATTTACAATGATATTTTAATATTTTGGTCTTTTAAGGCAATTAGTTGAAGAGCCTACTGTCTGTTTGTCTGCCAGGTTGGGTCCTTTTTTAAGTAATCCTTTTGCACTTAACCTCCATGAAAGCCAAGTCTCTAATGAACAGGAAAGCAGAGAGCGAGCAACCGATACGAGTCCCTCTGATCTCCATGGAAACCAGACCCCAAACAAAGCCGGAGACTGTTGTTGTCCTCTGGAAGAGAGTTAGAGAGAGTGAAGAGTGAGTGGGTGAGACGCAGCAAAGCACAGCTCTCTCTCTTGGGATGGCTACAGCAGCGAACTGTTTCCCTACTTCTTCAGTACTGCGGTAGTTATTGTGTAATATTAATAATCTGGATAACTCGGTGACATCTGCTGTCTCTCGGTGCGATCTTTTGTTTTGTCGTCACTTTATTTTTGTCATGTGTACACAGATTGAGAATGATGTATGTACCTCCAGGGCCAACCGGTAACAACTCGTCATCCCTCTAAATATGGAATTATGCTGCATGTTGGCAAATGAGACCTTTCTGTTCTACTTTTATGAACAACTTGTGTGACATTGACTTTTCCTTTTCTGTTTTAATTTCCAACTCCCCACCAGAGGCGAATCAACCAATCAGCGCGGCGTTGACACTTTGAATGTGTGACTGTGCACGCTTGCTCCTCGACCTTCACCCATAACACCCTTCTATGCGTAGCTTTGCAGAGACGTTTATGTGTCTTTGGAAAAGCATAATTCCAGTTTTACTCAGATGAGTCGTGGAGCAATAATAGTTGTTAAAGTGTGAACATTTGGCTTTTGCGTCCTAGTATGTACAAAAAATGCAGTATCCCTCCCAGTTATTGCTTAAATCTGTTTTTATATGAAATATAATGTTCTTTCAGCCTTTTTGGTTGTCTAGAAATGAATGCTAAATATCTGCTATAAGCGCCTGAAAGGTGGGACTGCTTTGTCCGGATGTGAAGTAAGGTCAACAGTCTCTGAACTCACCACCACCACCACCACAACAGTAGCGGAAAGTTTGAAGAAATGAACCTTTAATTTCACTCATCTGAAATGACAGAACAGTGTTTGGAGAGGCTGCTGCTGGTCTTTTCAAGGTTGTTTAGATGCCTTGCCTGCAATTATTTCTCTCACGTGTAAGTACTGAAACACGCACACACAGTAAGCATTGATGTCACACTTACTGTTAGGAAGTCAGGAGGTCCCATGTGAGGCAGAATGAGGCATTTCACTGTAATTTCCTCTCTGTGTGCAGTGTATACACTTGGTAAGATGCAGACGTAAACAAACATGCTTGTTTGCATACTGCACTTGAGGACTCTTGACGTAATGCATTCCTCGTGCCACGCAAAAAAAAAAAAGGCACCACAAAAAAAAGCTCTCTCAGTGTACCGTCTTTGTCCACTCCCCCAACCATCTGAAGGCCAGAGGCACATTCCTCAGCTGTGTTCCCACTGAGATGTAAAGGTGTTTGTGTGACCAGTGTTTCACTGGAAAATGCCCCCAGATACAACATTTCAATACTCCTACTTGTTCAGATATACAGTAAGTCGGCCATCATTCTGTTGGACTGTAAACCTGATGAGTCAAAAGAGGAGGAAACCATGAGGACGCCTTTTGTTTGGTGTTCAGATGGGCAGACGGTAGATGGAGTTCTGGGACAGATAACATGGCTTTAATATAGTCTTGTTACAATAAACTTGGCAGAGAACCCCAACAAGCATACAGTTGGTGCATATACAGTCCCAGTGGGTCTGTAGCAACTTCTGCAGGAAGTCGGACCCCAGGCGGTGAGTTTGTCCAGGCTGACCGAGTCGGTGCAGGAGGGGGAGCCAATAGCAGAGAGCTGAGATGTTGGCGGAGGAGGGAAAGAGTCTGGTGTCTCCGTGTCTGCTGTCGAGGCTCGTTAACTGTATGATGGATGATTTGGTGGCAGAAGGAGACGTCCTGTTGACTCGCACTGTGTGGGGGCGGTTCGGCTTCTCCGGAGCTCTGTTTGACAAACGCACACAGTCACGGCGAACCGGAATGAGTTGACGAGTGTGTGTGGCTGCGAGCCTTGCTCTGTTTATTCAGATGTTTTTTCCCACAGCCCCTGTAAAAGCGTGGAGGCATCGGACCCCTCGCCGAGCTGTTTAGTCTGTCGTGTTTCTCCAGGTCACTGGATGGACACGTGCACATGTACATCCTCCATTCCTCACCATGGCATATCACTTTTAAGACATATTTTCGCACCACCTTTCACACTCTCTCTCTCTCTCACACACACACACACACACACACACACACACACACACACACACACACACACACAGTACTTTCCACCTGATTGCTTACAACCTGTTGCATTAACCTTTTTTTGAGTCACTTCATAAGATCTGACAATCTTGGAGGCTCCGAACAACTCTTATTTTCAGTCTTTGCTCGTCCCCGGTGGTGCTTTTGCAACTGTGGCACTGAAAGTGTGGTTATGTCTGCAGGCGTGCATTAATGTCGCTTTTGCCCACAAAACCCCATCAGTCTACTTTCACAACGTTCTCTCTTACTCAAGGATGGACATCATGTGTTTGCGCCTTGTGCCTCCCTCTGAGTCACCTTCATGGTCTGCATGTTTTGATGCGGCACTGAACAATCTGTTTACGTTCACTTCCCTTTATTACTAGGAATCCAACGTCTATGTGTGTGTCTTAATTTAGCCACACTGCTTTTGTGGTTCCTCTTTTTACCCCAGTTGCTCAGCAAGGGTGTGGAGTTTCCTTTCCTGTTTTGTCTCTAAATGTTAGTAAGTCAACATCTTAATTGCATTTCTTGACGTTTCGGATTCCCTTTGGCTTCAGCTGGGCTAGAAGAGTCCGGCCCGGCAGAGTGATAGGCACATGCAAGAAGCTAGATGTCTTTAATTCTTTGGTGGTCTAATTAACTTTTTTTCTTACAGATTTATATTGTCAGTTTGATTTTGATATTTCCACCTTTTTAGAAAGAAAAATGTTGAATTTACTGTTTTTCCCTTTCTCTGTCTCTTCAGGCCAGGAACAAGGAGACAGGAGCTCTGGCTGCTGCCAAAGTCATCGAGACAAAATGTGAGGAGGAGCTGGAGGACTACATCGTTGAGATTGACATCCTGGCTAAATGTGACCACCGCTACATTGTCAAGCTGCTAGACGCATTTTACCATGACAACAAACTGTGGGTAGGTGTTACAGGAAGCTGGTTAGGAAAACCAGCTTAAAGTGTAATCCACAGACACCCTTCATTTCTTTCTGCTCCACCTTCCCTCAACTGAACACTATTATACAAGTGTGCTGTAAAAACATAAAACACTCATAGGCTGAATTTGGAAGAAGTTGTACTTGGAACAGACAGTATGTTGCAATGTGGGAACACTGTGGTCAAGGCTGCTGTTATATTGGACTGGTGCATAGTGTACCGAAGGAACCATATCTGCTGTCCACGCTGTACCCTGCTCACAAGATGTAGCCTTGTCACTGTGTTGAGGGGTTCCTGTGTCCGTCCACTTTCTTGGCATCCTTTCCACGCAGAGCCACAGCACACAAACTTTAACGATCAGCAGGGAAGCGGAAAAACAAAACCTCCTAACCATGTATGTTGGCAGGCTCATCTCAATCTGTGACTGCCAGAGTATCCAGAGTATATTTACCCTCCCTATGAGAGCTCTGGTGAATAATTAAGATAAGAGAAATGGATTGTCTCCAGGGTGACATAATGCATCAGAAATGACCCGATCCTCACCCTGATGCTACAGCAGGAATGAAGACCAAGTTCAACTTTGTGTTTTCTGCTCTCAAGCTATTTTCCCTTCTCCACGCTCGCTCATTGGGTCAAGTGTTCAACTCCCTCTGTAATCTCCCTCTCTATCTGGCCAAGAAAAATAATAGTGACCTCATGCTGGGGCACGACCTAGAATATCTGAGGAATTACAAGGCAGCGTTAAGACTCAAGATAGTTGTGTTCTGTTTTTCGACCCTTCACTTCTATTATTATGAATAGGTTTACAGTTTAGATGTAACTGTTGTGTTGTTTTCCGGTAGTCACCCTTATTTAGTTATTAAAACAATAGTAATCGTTAAGTATTGTATAAGTTGAAATATGTAAGATTTTAGTCCAGTGGATTGGGCAACACCCATGTTTCAATGGTAACAGCAGGTTCAGTTTACTACAGTGAACATTCCTTGAGCAGATACTTTGTCAGAAATACAACAGAAGAGCCACTTGTGTTCTCAGCCGAACAAACTGGCATTGTTTTGATAAAGCAGTCAATAATATTTGCAACCATGGTCTGATTTCATGCCATGCACAGCGCCAGTAGTCTTTGGCACATTAAAGTTCATTACCTTGCTGAGAAGAGGAGGTGTCTAACAGCTCTGTGTGGCTGCTGCTTCCATATCTACTTTGCAAAAAATGATCTGCTGACAAAAAATGCCTAAAATGACTGTTTTTTTTAATAACAAACCATGGATAGTTTCTTGTGACAGCTTTACAATAAAAGCCACAATATATTTTGTCAGTTGAACATTTTTAATGTGGAGTAGCAATTTTGTTTGATCACACTGCAACTACCAAAGGTAGCTACTACATAGAAAGATAGTTACTGGAAGCAAATACATTGAATGGCTATTGCAAAGATTTTTTTTTTTAAATTAAATTGTATCAAAAAGGCTTTGATTTATTGAAAATCTTGGGGATTATAACCAGCAAAACATGACAATTACAATAGAAATGTCACAGTACTGAAACCAGACTGCCTACACACACACACACACACACACACACACACACACACACACACACACACACACACAGCTATGCCCCAGAGCAGAACTGGTTGTGGTTGTGTTGGCCACAGCTGGAATTCCTGAGTTTGGAAGGTGAATGTCCACAATCAGTCATAGCCTGTGAGACTTTGTTTGTGCTGATAAATCAAATGTACAAACATCCCTTCCTTGTGTGTGTGTGTGCGTGTGCGTGTGCGTGTGCGTGTGCGTGCGTGCGTGCGTGCGTGCGTAAGTGCGTGCGGCTTCAGGGTGTCAACTTTTACTTAACTATTTCCCTTCCAAGCTGTGCTCAGACACTAATATCTCCTTTTTATTTGAGGTCTAAGACATTCTCTCAATCTCTGCATTATCTGTGGATCAGCCTGTATTTTAACAGCAACCAACGTTTCTGGGTTGGTATAGAAACTCACAGCAAAAATGGACTTATGAGTAGTAGAATAATTATATAAAACATGACGAAGTGAACAAGCTCTGCACCTCATTAACCTCAGGACCTCAACAATTAGCCCAGTGGTTGGCGGTCAGGCCTCGGTAACCTCCGGTTGGGTGGACCGGGGAGGGGTGAGATGATGCATTCCAGTACTGACACACCCGTTCTGCTTTCTACTGAGTAAGCGAGGGATAGAGGAAGAAAGAAAGAGACGGCGAGAGAAGGGCTGTTTGTTCCCGTTCAGGAACAATCTGGTCTTGAGGCTAGAAGGGCAGCCGGGCCCACAGCGTGAGAAAAAGAGGGCCTTTAACATGGGGGACAGGACTGCTGACATCAGCACACCCAGCAGAACGAGCAGAGAGGGGAAAAGGGAGAGCTGTTAAACGGATGAAAAAGAGAGATAATAAACACAGAAGAGAACTTTCACACATCATTTAAAAGCATAGTTAAGCCTACCTGAATAAAGGGTTGGTTTACCCAAATGACAACACATGTATGTCTGTTTTATTTTGAGATTTTCCTCCCTGTGATTTATGCTGTCATCCAAATACTAATGGAATTAACAAGGACTATTTCTCTGGTGGATTTGAGTAGATTTAACCTATCAACTTTTAAAATGTATATTTTCCGTGCTTTGAGGAGCACCATGAACAAAATTTAATCTGCTTCCATGAAAAATCCACTTAGCTGTCTGCATGGCTAACTATCACTATACGTAAGTGACACGTTTGTGTTTGCCGTTTTGGGGATTCAGATTAGCGATCCAGCAGAAATGTCTAATGAAGTATAGTATAGTATATAGTATAGTATATACTATACTATACTATAGTATATAGTAAGTGTGTTTTTAGCTTTTCTACACCAAAACTAGGGATTTTTTTTTTAGATTGGAGGTACAAACTTTGTTTAACCCATTAAATGCACTTTCAACATGACAAAGTGTAAAGTTGAAATTATTTACAATCTTTTTTTATTATACCTTTGCCAATATTTGCTGACAATGAGGTCTACATAATGTCACTGGCTGCGGTCGCTAGGAGATCTTTCGATGGCACTGGAAAGCGAATTGATAAAAGTCAACATGTCTTTTTTTTGGCACCGCCTCATATACACAGATCGCTGAAGCATTAGTCATGTTCATAGTGTGACAATGTTTAACAGTCAGTGCGATTCAGATTTTATACGCTCATATTTCTTTCTTTATTCGATGCTGCCGTTTCCAAGCGGGTCATTGTTTGCAAATCGCCTTTTATATCCTCTAGTCTTCTGACGAAATGAGGTGGGAAATCATTGTGAAGGTACAGAGCTGTGAATCGCAGGAACACTGCAGTGTCAGCAGGGCCTGCTGCGTTTATTTGAAAGCTTTTTCTATTTTGTAGGCTGTGTCCAATTTGATTCTGTTTTTTTTGGAGGGGGTATGTGCATTTGTGAGATAGGCAAAGCTTGTGCTTGCATGTGTGTTCAGCCCATAGTAGGTATGCTTTGCATGTGGCTTGACCAGTCGGGGCACATTCTTCACTGCAGCACACCACGTCATCCAGAGTTGTTTCAGGCAGGGAGAGCAAATCTGACTGCAGAGACACTGACGGAAACACAAGCCAGTTGCTTATGACGGAGTAGTGTTATGTTCAGCTGTTTAGGTTGGGTAGCATAGGGTGTTACTACTGACGGGCAGCTCATTTAATTCAGTGGGTGTTTTTTAAACGGGGGACAATTGGAAATAAGGTGTGTTTGGTTAGCGGTGAGCAGGAATACGGAGCTGAAATATGAAATAAACCTCACTCTGGGAGCGCTTTAAAACTAGATTATTGTATCAGTGTTTAAACAGCACTGCAGGGAGATATAGTTGAAAAAGACATTTTAACAATCTAAATTTCAATGTGTCAAATTTAAATGTATTGGTAAATACAAGGTAAATTGGTCCAGGTAATGTAAAATGTCTTCTTACTGTAAAGTAATGGGGAACTATATGAACCCGACCGATGATGGGTTTTTGTGGCAGATGTGGACAAAACATAAATAACACAAACAGTCTTGAACCAACTTTTCTTTTGAATAAAAATCTTTCTGTGCTCTTCTTTGAAGTGGGTGTGGCTATGATGGAAAAAGGTAATTTCTAGACCAATCCAAATTGAACAAAATAAAAAATCAGAATCTAAAACAATACACAAATAATACCCAAATAAAGCAGAGCAATAGAGTTTTTTTTATTATTTTTTATTAATTTGCAACTTAGAATGTGTTTTTTTTTTAATTTTTTTTTTTATCTGTAAATTCAGTTGTTTCTCATTTGGACACAAATATTCAGTGTTGCAGACTAAAGTTTTCAGTGCTTTAATGGAACTTAAGTCATAGCTTTGTTTTAGGAAACAGAGGTCAAACACTGAGGGCTGATCTTTGTGATACAGTATGTTTAAAGGGTGGAAGCATTAGAGCGTGTAACACACAGGCCAAACTGTCTCCCTGCTCTCTGCCATTCAAAAGAGATGTTGAAGAAATGAAGCATACTTGATAAATGGGTGACAAAACACAAAACTAAAGGGTTTGTCAATCCAAACTTCACAAAAGAACATTGTTTCACCGGGAGAGCTGCATACCAGGCTAGCTAGACATTCCTCATCTTTTGAGTGTGTGTGTCTTCATCTAACTGCATGTGCATGGAGGTACAGTATGTAGAGTTTCTCACAGTCATCTGTACCTGGGGTGTTTGCACCTGTTGTACTTAATAATTCTTTGTATGGCTTTGACAGGACTGAAACTCCACACCCTGTCCACTACCAGGTTGACTCTTTGACAGTGTTGTCATAGCAAGCAAGACTCTGATGATTAAATAAGAATGACATCACATGGCAGGTTTGCTGTGAACACAAACCTAGGATTGATTTTTGGTCTAAAATCCTGTGGTGGCTTTATTTTCTTTGGTCCCACTCTACCAGAATGAAACATTTGGAGGTTTTTCTAACAGGCGTGTGCATGTCAGAGAGTGGCTGACTATGTAAGGAGAGGAAATGAAATTGTTGGAAGTTGCTGTTTGCCAACAAGCCACCATTTAGGGAGTGTGTTCTCAGAATATTTTTCTATCTCTCTCTCTCTCTCTCTCTCTCTCTCTTTCTGTGTGTGTGTTTTACTTCACTGCAGAACTGGTATTTATGTGTGTGCCAGACAGTTCATCACACACTTAAGTCTCAATCCAGCTGTCCACTTTGCAAAGTGTGTGTATTGTAGTACTTTCACCACAGATGTCAAAGAGTGTTTAACTGATGAACAGCAAAAATATAAAAAAAATAGTAGTGGGTAGTCGCAGTCCTCATCATTGGTAGAGTGTTTATGCTCACGGTATTAATCAACTTGAGCTCATTTAACTGCCACACTTCATTTAAGGTCTTCATAAATTACTCAAGTTAAGTGCCAAACTTTTATGGTCCATCAGTGCTGAATGTTTCTAGCCACAGAATCACAAACAATTCATCAACAGTATCGAACAACATTTACAATTTGCATAATAGTGAAAGTGATGATTTGAGATATGATAGAATGGGAAGTATTTCAAAGATGTTTATGTGATAATTGTGTACATACTAATTGTTCATGTGCTGCTGATGTGAAGTGATCTGTTCTGCCCGTTGCTACATATAAATCCCTGAAAAAGAAAAGGTGCCAGCTGTCAATTTTATGTTTGTACTGTATATTCATAAGGCTCCCCCTTCATTCCTCAGATCATGATTGAGTTCTGCCCCGGAGGTGCCGTGGATGCCATAATGCTAGGTAGGCCTCTGTCTTTTTGCTCTCTCTTGATATGTTTTCATAAGCACTTCACATTCCTCCCCTGTCACGAGAGTCGAGTTCCACACCTGCGGCGGTGCTGGGACTACACCTGCAGTGACTTTAAGGAAGTTAAATATTAGAGAATCAATGTTTAACTAAAGATCGTTCCGTATATGATCATGTACATTCTTCACCAGTCTGACATTGAACGATCTAGAAAGCAGTCAGACACATTGAAGTCCTCCGGTGTGGGAAAACCCCCTGGTCTGTTTTTACATGGTGATCCACATCCTCATAACTGTCTGTACCCCAACTGCAGCTAACCAAACACAGACACAGTAGAATAAAGTCTGCAGGGCAGGACTAGCTTGGATGTATGAAAGCTTCTCTGATCTGGGATTACCCCTCCAGCAACACCATCTGAGAAACGTCAGTGATATCAACAGGTTTACCTTTTTCTGTTTTCTCTTCGCGGAGTTCACACACCACATCAGTCCTCAAGACTTAGTGAATGAATGTGGAATCTGCGAGGTGTGCAAAATGGGTTTTGAACCTCTCAGCAAGTTTTCTCAACTCTCCCTTGCATTTCCCTCTCATTCTGACCTCTCTCCCCTGCTAATATATGTATCCCCTCCATCTCCTGACTCCTGCCTCCTCCTCTCCTGCGCTTATCAGAGTTGGATCGTGGGCTGACGGAGCCGCAGATTAAGGTGGTCTGTCGCCAGATGCTGGAAGCTCTGGATTACCTCCACAGCATAAAGATCATCCACAGAGACCTGAAGGCTGGTAACATCCTCCTCATGCTGGATGGGGACATCAAACTGGGTAAGGGTTTAGATATTTGACTAGTTGTAGGTGCTTGTACACAGTTGACTTTTGTGGGTTTGATTTGGATCAAATTAGTAAATCCCGGAGTAATCCCATCATTTACCAAGAAACCATTTGACCGCTAACATGACGGAAGTTGAACTAATTCTCAGATGAACCCCATGTTCCCATTGCACATCACATGTTTCTCTCTGGAACTTCTCTGTTGTTTCTTTGGCTTACATGCATGTGGCCGAGGTATATGGGCTGAACACACAAATACAGCCACATGTATGTCGCGCTCGTGTGTGCGCGCGCGCGCGCGCGCACACACACACACACACACACACACACACACACACACACACACACACACACACACACACAAAGTTAGAGGCCCTGTACACCTCCTGTGGGGCTGTAGCAGGATCAAAAGTGGGCATTTAAAAGGAAAACTGCATTTTCAAAAGCATATTTTCATTTATTGGCTTTTTGAAGAGCTCTCCACATTCTTCGCATTGCACAGCTGAAGTTGTGGATCCAACCCATTGGCCAGCAATTATTGGTTTAGAGTAGTTTCCAGGAAAGGGAAAATTGTGTTTTAATGTGCTTTATGTAAGAGTAAATTAAGGAAGTGCAGATTTTGTTTCTAAATGGCTGCTTGACATTTAGATCTTCAGACATAAAACTTTCAACAACAAAAAATATATGTTTTGGTCTCTTTTGACTACATGATGTGTTACTCTCTTTCACTCTGTGCTTTTGCACTCTGTGATGACCAACAAGCTTAAAATAATCAGTGGAGCGTAACTGTGAACTGCTTAGAACATCATATTATGGAGCTGATTTCCTTGCGAAACTGGCTGCTTTTTGTAGTTTATTTGATACCAAATTGGTCCATGGTTTTATTGAAATTTCTCTTCAATTTCAAATGACACATTTTGTCAGCCACTGTGCTCTGTGAGTTGGACTTGTCCTTCTTGTTGAAGTCCATTTCCACTGCCTTACATTCCTGCCTAAGACATCACAGTTCACTATAATCACTGGGAGTTGCCTCTTTAAAATCATTAAGTCATGACACTGACTCATTTACAATCTCCAAACTTATCTAACTACACGCTAATTCAAACAAGTTCGCAATTATCTTCCTTTGAGGCCCGGCCAAATGCATTTTATCCACCTCTGATGTAAGGCATTTAACACTGTGTACAGTTGTAAACTTTTTGGCTTATGTTTATAAAAAACTTAAGCTCATGCTGCTTTATCAATGCTATGATCAATAACAAAGGCAAATCAGTATGATAGAAATAATGTACTCCACGTAAAATTAAGATCAAATCACTGAATCCTTGTCATGTTTGAAGGGGTTTTCCACTGAAACACCTGTTACTGTGCACTCGTTTGGTTCCTGACTTTGAGTGGTGCATTATGGGAACCTTTAGGCGTGAATGGTAGAAATATTTGTGTATAATCATAATAATGCTTCTTGAGAGACCCTTCGTGATTACTCAAAGGAACATATGTTAAACCCAGTGATACAGAATGTACTGAAGTGTATTTGAGCCTCTGGGTTCATAAGGCCAACCCTTATTGGTATGATTCTTCCTAAATATGCTACCATCCTTCAGGGTATTAATGTTTTAACTCTACTTTTTGTGAACGATAACGGCGGTAGTGTAATTTATTGTCTTTGTATAAAGGAAACGTTCTTTCTGCAAAAATTTGGACTGCAACAGTCTAAAATTATATATTTGACTGTAAAGTCAAAGATATTTGAATTGTAGTCTGCAGAAACCAAGACAGTCACTTAAGTCCCCGTAATAGAACATGCCAGTTTGTAATTGAAGCAGTCAGCCTGCTGCCTTGTGAGTATAGGCCTCTGCCAAGTACTGAACCCTGGGCATGCCACACGTAATATTCTTACTCGCAGAGAAAAACACATGTTCAGCCAAAGTGAAAAGAACACCCCTGTAATCTGAGGGTCATGTCAGGAAATGGAGGCAGCTTGTTTGGGAAACCTAACTGCTATAAATTCAATGATTCTGGCTTTGTGTCTCAATGGCATGATAGTTTTACAAGCTACAAACTATTTTTCAACTACAAAGGGAGAAAAAAAAATGGAAGTTTTTAATTTTAGTCCCTCTTAAATGTCTCCAGTGAACTTCTTTCAAATATCTCACGTCATCTTTTTTGTTTCTGGTGTTCTCTTCATTCTTGTAGCTGATTTTGGCGTATCTGCGAAAAACACCAAAACCTTACAACGAAGAGATTCTTTCATTGGAACACCATATTGGTGAGTAAAACATTACTCTACATCAGAGCACTAAGGGAAAGAGCTATGCATGGTCTTAGAATGGATTAAAGCTTCTGTTTTTTTTGATCCAACATCCTCTAAATCCAAACGGTCTAATTGTCTGCAATGTACTAATATATTTACCATGCAGCATAATCTCTAACTGTAGACATATGAACCATCCCTACATGAGCTATATGAGTAGGGGATTATGGCTTTTTGGGAACAGATTTCCTGCCACTCACAACACATGATGTTGAATATACACATGTATTTTTGTAGGCCAACCCTGGAAGTTGGTATCGCACGGTTTTCCCCCAACAAAAAGCCAATTGGATTTTTTTAAAACTGGATTTTGGATTACTGCCTAAAATGAGCTAGGTGGCAAATGCATTTATGATACTTACACGCTTTGTTCAGCAAGATAATCTTCACAAATGAACACTACTTTTATGATAATAAAATAAAAACATGAAGGTGTTTGGCAGAAGTAATCAGTGTGCCTATAAACAAACTACACCACTAACAACAAGGCTGTAAAGGTGGACTAGTCGGTGGGATGGCGTTTTGTAGTCTCATATAGTCCCTTGTTAACAATCCTCCTCTTTTTTAAGACACGTAAAATCTTCAAACGTAACATTTGGGATACTTACTGGCATATTTTATATTGTAGACCAAACTGTTGAAACCTCCTAAGCTTGTGTTAAACACAGACATTTGTTTTAGGCATCTAGCCAAATACCCACCCACAAAAAACCCCATTGATTTCAAGTCGAGGGAACCGGAAGTACAAAAATGCTGACTTTTGTTTCAGGTTTTAGGACTCATTCCTGCAGCACTCAATTCAACCCAACACCTCAACTTAGTGCTTTAATGTCGTTGGTTCTCTCCTCTATACCTCCACAGAGAACTTTGTTCCACTGTCCTAGTTATGCAGCCTGTTAACCATTGACTACCACAGATTAGCATCCTTCAGGAATACACACCCCAGCTCAAGAGAAACATGGCCGTGCCCTCATTTTTCTTTTGATCCTGAACAGAATATTGCAGACGGGGTTGTTGTATACTTTTACCTTGAATGCGCTGATTAGTAAAGTCAACAAACAATGGGGGAGCACATATTTGTTTCTTTGCACTTGAGTACATTTAAGAGCTCGGGGGTTAGCGAGCAATCCTGCAGATTGTCAGCAAACACGCGTTGATTGGAGAAGTGTGCTTGATGTTTACACCTGCAAAATAGCGAATAAGAGCGAAGAGGAACACTCCTTATCCCCACCGCAGTAATCAACAGTTAGTCCCTCGCTGGCGCTGCTCAGATAAAACTATTGTAAATACCACACGTGTATCTTTATGATATCAGAAACTATTGAATCATATTGGGACTGTTTTATTTTTTTATACGACTAGCTGTGTTGATTTGGCAAAACAGATTTTTACAACATGATAGGTCAAATCTTAACAAGTTGAGTTACTTATTAGTTCTGTCACTTGTTGCTTTGCAATTTCTGCATGCATGTAAGACCTATGAACTGCCTCTAAAGGTCAGTGATCCCATACCCTCCTCTTGTAAACACAGTTCTACACACATTTCATCCAGACAGGTGACATACTGCTCAGGTATACATGCAAACATTAACACACGTAAGTTAATTATATACTAAACGGCATGCTCGAGGAGAAAACTCACCTCTACAGCTTGACTATTCCAATTAAGCATGTTTTGAGGATAAATGTTGCGTAAATAAATGTGCAGTATGCCTTCACTTGTTAGCATTTTAGTTAAATTAAGGATTCAGTGTCCTACACCATGTAAATGGTCCCTTTTTCTTCTGTCTCAGGATGGCCCCAGAGGTGGTAATGTGCGAGACAATGAAGGATGCTCCATACGACTACAAGGCGGATGTCTGGTCTCTCGGGATCACTCTGATTGAGCTTGCCCAGATTGAACCCCCGCACCATGAGCTCAACCCCATGAGGGTGCTGCTGAAGATCGCCAAGGCGGAGCCTCCCACCCTGGAGCAGCCGCACAAATGGTGAGGATCCATTAAAAAGGAATCTGAATTAGCTGCTGTACGTTGTGACGTAAATTTACCATATAATACAATGCATGAGACAACAGGAATATTTTAACCAGGAAATTATAAAACGCTTTTACAATCCATGATTCATTATTCTCATAGATTATGATACATGGACCAGAGCTTTTATATATTTTTTAGATTTCCCTGCGTCACCTTTTTTTTTTATTCTATTACCACATTTTTGCACATTCTGTGTCCTGTAGTGTAGACACTCTATGTATCACATCATCCTCCCCCTCTCTGCCTGCAGCCCATTTAGCCATTTCCACAACTATAGCAACAACTCAGGATTTAAGCGTGTGCCAAACTGTAATTTTTCAATGTCATGAGCCTGAATGTTCCATAGCAGCAAATTTAGTGCTCCAAAAATCAGGTGCTGAAAGGGATGGGGAGCCCACTCATCATTCCTGTTGAATGCTTTCTTGTACAAAGCACAGCTGTGCACTAAAATGACCCACAAAACAAAAGTTTTGTTCACACTTTTTGTTATGTTGTAGTTATTCCTCCATCCCCCTTGATTAATACCGTTGTCTTGTATTCTCTCAAGGTCACAGGACTTTAAAGATTTCCTGAAGAAAGCTTTGGACAAAAACCCAGAGACTCGTCCGACTGTAGCACAACTCACAGAGGTAGGCCCTGATGCAATGTGCAATTATAACCTAGCAAATGTTACACAATGCTGCACTTTGATATATGATGGAACATTGTCCTCGCTCTGTCCTTATCTTGCACAGACGCACATAATACGGGGCCTTTTAATCTTCTATTTTAAGACCTGAATGGAGTGATCTATGCCAGGGAAATGAGCCGTGCCCCCGTGGAGGGCACTGGCATGTGAGTGGGAGGGGAATAGAAGGTGGTGTACGAGAGTGGGGAAGAAATTCAGCAGGCAGAAAAGGAGAAGGATGGCATAAAAAGTTAAGTGAAAGAAGAAAGCTAAAAAAAAAAGGAAGGAAGGAAGGAAGGGGAGTAAACTTTCAGGACCATAAGAATCGTTCACTTTTTGAAGCACCATTTTCATCTTAAGGACAATGGAGGTTTTTGCGCCAAAGATTTTAGATTGCTAGGATATTTAGGAGAGGCTGATGACGGTAAACAATAATATCTGAGGATGAATTCTGACAAAAGTTTTTCGAAGTACGGAGCAAGAAAAATGAGAGAAAAAGTGAACAGGGTGTGGATTAAAGCACAGTGTCTATTCAAATTCAGAGCCACAGTTTCCTGTCCATGTCCCACAGCTGAGGAAACGCCAGCTATTTACATTCCCACCCTCAGCCAATACCATGTCTGGATTACCCTGACTTCGCCACCTCTGGCCAATTAGAGAGAGGCAGAGATGAAAATCCTAGACCCGGGCCCACTGGGAATTCTGCATGTGCTCTCCAGTGGGGGGTGGGGGAGAGACGGGCGCGGTTTGTTTTTTGGTGCCGTGCTGGAGGTTTTAGATGTTTATCATGCCTGCTGCTCCTAACGGCTGTTAGATAGTATTTACTGTGGATGGTTATGCAATGATGGCATTCGATTCAGTTTACTGGAAGTTACCATCGGTCTATGTGACAAGTTTTAGGTCAGACTTTGTTATTCGTTGGAGTGTATGGATATTAAAAACAGATGTAGTGCAGGAAGTGAACATGAGGATTACAATGAATCATATTTAAGGAGTGTAGGTGCTAAACTGTGTGAGGTGTGTGCGCAACTGACAACAGAGGAAATAAAAGGACAAAATTCATAAAGTCTTTGTCATCAGGCGTTTCTAAGATGGTATTTGTTTGAAACAGTTTGCCACTCTTGCCTTGTGTCTGTCCCACATGTGTGCTTGTAAAAAATGTTTACAAAACAACATGACACAGTATCAGTCACTGTGGCTGGTGGGAAGCCATCTGGATGACTTTGTACTCATTACACTGAATATAGTTTCTACTCCCACATGGTTTCTCATGGCTAGGGTTTTCTACAGTGTTTTTGGTGTGGCTTCCATTCATGTATCATATATTTTCTGTGAGTTCTGTGGATTGTACAGATATTTCAAAATCCGGGCAAAAAAGTCAAGTCAATATTATTTATGTAGACCAAAATGACTGCTTGTCTAACACCAGAACTTGCCCCAAACGTATCCTAATTATAACCTTTACCTTAAAAGCAATTCTTAACCTCTGAACCACCCTTTATGAAGTGAAGAATGACCAAAATGCCCTCACTTTCCCAAAAATGTGCTCACTCAAGGTCTAAAACTCAAATGTATCCTTACAAAAACAGAAGTACAACTACACACACACACACACACACAGTGCACTGTCAGTGGTTCACAGGTAATTCTGCCTTTGCAGCCCCTTCCTCTGGTCCCCTAATGGGCCGTATTGTTCACGTTTAACCTTTTCACGCCTAGCCAAGCATGTAAGACCCAAAATCACAGGCCTCTTTGGGTCCAAAAGCAACGTGAAACCTAAAAGAGAGGACATAGGCTCCACTGATCCACATCTTAATCCGTAATGGCAGTCAAAAAAAACATAGCTAGATTTAACAGGGCAGAAATATCACACTGTTTGCCATTTTTTTCCTCTGTGATATGCCTCAAGGAAGCTGTGTTTAGCTTAGACATGGGAGGTCTGAATTCACTTGTTACAATAAACGGTTGGAGGCTGACATCTCAGACTACTGTTGGTTTTCTAATGGTGCCTGAGGGGTTTTTACTAAACAGTGTAGGCTTAGATCAGTAGTGGATACTGGACAAAAAGATCGTTCATAATCTGGGGAATAATTTACTTTTCTCGGCTTTGAAGAATCTCCGTCTAAAACTCCAGCCTTAAGAAAGTCCTTAAAGACATTTTACTGTTGAGATCTTTGAGATAGTCCTAGAGTAGATGTGTACTGGATTGTTTATTTACTTTTGCCCTTAAATGCATGTACCCTCACACTCACACACACACACACCCTTACACTCATCTAAGCATCACACACTCTTTCAAGTATTATTGGAGCGTTCAGTGAAGCTGCAAATGTTGAAGTCCCAGCATTTGTTCACCTCACTTCGTACCTCCACAGGTTCGTATGGCTTTAACCGTGTGATGGCTGATCTCTCAGCACGTTGGAGTGTATACTCAGGAAGTGGTAGTGTGGTTGTTGGAGTCTGATTCAAGTGAACTGTCTTGAATGATCCAGTGTAGCTCTCCTCTAAAACAGTTGCTGAGCTTGTTTTTGATAATCAAGCATAAAATGACTCTTCTGTAATAAATAAGGAAGGCCAAGTTGGAATTATTTATACACATATTCATATTTCCACTGGGGTGTAATAATTGGTTTGACCTGACCTGTTGTTATTCATTAGAGAAGTTAAAAGCTGAAGCATAATGCAGTCCTCGAGGACAAGCCGCTGCACACAAACAACTGTGTTCAATATGCTGCAAACACACCCGACTTATGCACACTTCATGGTCCAGCACCACTTGCAGCTTGTCAGCTGTTCCAATTAAATTACACGGCAGTGCAAAGCATCTGAATAATTGATGATCAGCTGCACTCAACTTTTAATTTCGCTTTTTATTCTCCTTGCACTCGGCTTATTAGTGCCGCGTTTGCACTCTGGCAAAACGCACACTTTCTCTTTAGCAGCTGTAAAAGTAAAGCTGGCCTGCTTTTAAGGAGCATGATGTTAGAATGGAACAGTGCTACATCAGTGTGCCATTAAAAGGGAGAGTTGTATTGTAGAGCCACTATTGTTGTAGCTGTGCAGGAACAGGCAGGTGGCAGATAGTTTCCCCTGCAGTGAAAGTCTCCTGTAGCCGCTCGCAGCCCCATGGGCAACTTTATGTATCCGACTGTAATTACTGTTTTTTTTCCATAGCCTACCTTCATCTATTCCTTATCTTATTCCTGCTTCGTCATTGACAGTTAAGTACTGGCAGCATCCCTCAAGCAATGGTCTAATGATATTCTGATCCATGGAAAATGTGTTGAGTTGGCCCCCAGCTAAAATTGTTTTATGGTTGTTAGTGTTTATCTTTTGGTCACATCTGGCCTTTTACTTTTCTTCCCTCGTTGTCGTGTTTACAAGCTGATTTATGCTCAGAATTTGATGCATGAAATGAACAACAAGTTGTAAGACACTGGTTTTGCTATTTAAGCACCAGTCACTGTGCATTTTAACTGTTAATTAATTAACCATCTCACCTCTGTCCCGTATCCACAGCACCCTTTTGTGAGATCAGTGACGTCTAACCGTCCGCTGCGGGAGCTGGTGGCCGAGGCCAAGGCTGAAGTCATGGAGGAAATAGAGGACAATAGGGAGGAAGGAGAGGAGGATGACGCCATGGAGCTCACAGTGGTACCAAACCTCAACTTTTGTTTTCCTCTTTTCTGTCTATTCATTTTCTTGTCCGTCATTGTTTGTTTCCAAAAGGAGACTGGGCAGTCCATGGGTTGGGTTGTAAGAGTACACGTGATCGGGATTTACAGAGTCTGTAATGGGACAGTAACTGTAACCGTTCAAAAAAACGAAATCAGACGAGTTGGAATTAAAAAAAAAAAAAAAAAGGTCCAAATAATCACACAAAGTTATGCATTTACCTGCACATGCAACCATACAAACGGCACACATGTTCTGCCTTAACCATACACTTCCCCTGCTTTTGAAGTATTTGCTTGTTGACCACTTTGAACAGCATTTTGTGGTAAACCTGGCCTTCCTGCCAAACGACTGAAGGCCATCCATAACCCCACAGAGGGCATACGATTAGAAAGTGACATACAGTAGTGTGAGAGTGCAGTTTACCTCCTGCCCTCAGCACAAACAACGGAACAGAAACCGGAATACTGGCATTCACACACACCTACTCACGTTTAAAAATAGGTGCTGCCTTCGTCCTCGCTCCTGTATAGAAACGTTGTCACCTAACGACCCCTGATGGAGTACATTATTTTAGGTTTCACATTATTGTGTTTCTATTCTGTGTAAAAGAAAAAGACGCACAGTGATAGAAGACCCTAGAAATACTCATTCTATCAGGAAGCGGTTACCAGACAAATGCTGCTTCTAGATTTAATCTTTTATTTTGCCACACATAATTCTTGTTAACAATGCCATTTAAAACACTCGTCCCTGGTTTTCAGTCATGATTTGCACAGGCTTCTCACCCCTCTAATTATCTGTGTACTTGTTACAGATTAGATAGCCATTTTAGCCGTAGTGTGAGAAGAAGCAGTCCAAACAGGAATGACGGCATTCCTACAAAAGCAAAGGTTAAGGTTACTTCACTAAATGTGGGACGCTTAAAAGACTTTATCTGCTTTGTCTGCTACAGCACACATAGCTGCTCTGTAAATCAGCTGCCATTTGTTCCCTTTTGAGAAAAATAAAACAGAAACCAAAAGGAGGAAATTTGTATTTTAAATGTTTTGGTTTTATTATTGGCGTACCGTATCTTTACATTTATTTGGCTAAATATCGTTCCAGTATCTGTCTGAGTAGATGGAGACCTTATTTTAAACCTTGCATAGGACAGTAACATTAGCAGTCGGTCACACTGAGCCAGCAGCTTGCTACACAACGCATCAAGTTAACACAACACATTAACTTTCCTGCTAAGGAAATAAGCATTTCTGATATTTACCCAAATACCTCATTCTTTTCATTTAAAAGATGTTGACATTATTTTTGACTATAAAAAGTGTGATTTCAGTTGGAACTAAACATTTGGTAGACCACAAACGACTTGGAACATCAAATGTTTTGTCACATGAGCGCATAACAACAATACTCTTCTCCTCGCCAGACCAGTCAGACCAGTTTGGAAGGAGACCAGTCTGTGGACACCCCAAACCCCACCACAACCTCCCAAACCACTCCAACACCTCTACCTAGGAAGGGGGACGAGGCCGATACACCAACACAGGAGCAGCCGGGCCCCATCATGGTGGTCCCTGTTCCCCTACCACGGCAGAATCTCCCTCCAAAGGATCCAGAAGAGTTGGACGACAAACTGGCCGATGATGTCATTCTTGAGTCTGAGAAATCTGAGAGCGAGGCCTCAACCAAGACCTCCAGCTCAGATTCGGGTATCGAGGATGGGAAGAGTACCCCGACATCGGAGGAAAAGGTGATCTTTGAAGTTTTAGATTTAGAAAATGAAGTTGTATTGACTGTGGTGTATTCAATAATAATGTTAAAATTAATTTTAAGGTTGCTGTGGAGACCCCAAAGACGGAACAGCCACCATCTCTCCAACTGGAGGCATCTGAGGAACATGTCGACATCATCGTTGACTCAACAGACACAAGGCTGCCCCAGGTCCAGGTGACCGAGGACGAGAGCAAAGCTGTGGCTAACGGAGGCTTACCAACTCCCGGCCCAAGTCCCACTGTCACTCCTACAGCCACTCCTGCGCCCTCCTCTGCTCCTACCCCAGTGCATACACATCGTTCTGAGCCAAATGGTGGCCTAATAGAGCGGACTTCGACGCGAGGAAAGGCAGAGGTGCTCTCACCTTATATCGCTGGAGGGATTATAAAAAAACGGTACTCTTATTCAGACAGCATGGCGTCTGAGAGCATGGACATGTCGATCCACAAGGAGAGCATCTCTATGTCAGCAAGGGTGAGTCAACGTGAAGCAAAAGTCTCCGCTTGAAGCAGCCTGATCTGTCCTGTATTAGTATTCCTTTGGTCTTATTTAAATGTCAAGATGAATGAACCTGGGATTTAGGCATATCCTTTATTTATTAATTCAAGTGTGTCAGCAGAGAACACGTCTTTGAGGTGACATAGACGAGTAAAAGAGCCAGCTCCCTGCCTCTGTAGGAAAACCCCTCCTTGGAAAAACTATTTCTCGGCACCCACAGAGGAACTGAAACTGCATTGTGTTGTGTTTAGGGGTGTGTGGGTGTTAACCATCTGAAACAGAGGATAGCCTGTCTTCCATCAGGCTTGCACTACCCATTGCATTTAGAGAGGCTGTGGAGAGAGATACTAGTTAATGCTGTTAAACGCCAATTCATTATTTTATTTGTTGCGATTCATGCTGAATATTGATTTATTTGGCGAGTCTGGGCTGAACTATTGATAACATTTGTAGTATATTAAAATAACTCTTTGAAGGGTGTAAACTAAATATCCAAAATGTCATTGTAAACAAAAACATTTTTCTTTTACACCTCATGATAATGCAACCAATATAAAAGGAGTATTTTCGTAATCACAAAATTTGTGCTTTGAGCCTGATAGACCCAGTGAGATAGGGAAGAGAGAGACTGTTTAATAATTTATCTCTGTGTCTTTATGTCTGAAGCAAAATATGCAACATTTTCCATTCATCGGGACCAACAGAGCCCTTTGTGTGGGCACAGTCCAGTATTCAGCAGCGTGAATGGCAGTTTCTATGCAGCTCATTGTCACTCTGCTGCTTCTGGAGGCTTATGGACCAACCGCAACTGAAATCCGATTGACTGTGCGTGGAGCCGTGTCTTGTTTGTGGCATGTAAAGTTTTTCCAGAACAGATTATTCAGCAGCAGCCTGCAGTGAGAGTGAATGGGCAGGAGGTCACAAGCATTTGTGGGAGAGTGTGTATGATTGAGAGCATCAGTGTCTGTGCATGTGCTCATGAATTCATCCCTGTGCACGGGAGAGCTGCGTGTGTATTTGTGAATGACAAGTGATAGGAAATGACAGCCTTAAACACAAAGCTGAGCTACAGACTGAGCCGTATGTCCTCTGATTGTAGTGCCAGTGTGTACTTAATAACACACTCAAACAGGCAAACATCGCATAGATTCATTGATGTTGTAAAAGTGTCAGTTATGTAGAAAGGGAATCAACAGTGCAACAGTAGCATCCAGTAGCTGTCATTCATGGCAACAGCCTCATATGTTGTCTATTTGCTCAGCTGTAGATGGTTCATTAGGAAGCTTTGTCAGAGGGGGCAACAGTATGCACAAACCAACTTAATTACTGCGTTTTGGTTCAGTTTCCTTTGGTTCAGTTTCCTCCTCTCCTCCTCATAAAAAGTATTTATAAACCAGGAAATGACGACAACCAGGGTTTGAGCTGCCCAATGTTTGCAGAGTAAACCCGGCCATATCGGTCTTGTAAATATTGTCCGTAGAGGCTGATTTAGATAAGGGACATGTACTTTGTGAGACATAACAATTATCTTCTCTTCAATTCTAAGGGGGGTTCATGCTCTGACTCATATTAAACATTTAATGTATTTTGTATGATGTCCTAGTTGACCTACTTGAGTCTATACACGGTAATGGCACTCCCCATGACCGTGACAGACAGACAGACATCAACTTGTAGAACCAGATCAACAGGAACATCAATGCTTTTGTCAGCACACTAACGCACACAGCGGCCCCTCCTTCTGCTAGGTCAAAAGGCTGCATTGGGAGTCACAAAAGCACGCATATTTAAACATGTACTTTTAAACATCAAATTGGGGGGTGCTACTGCATATTTGTAAAAAAAAGAGGTCGTATGAAGCTTTTCGTGGCTCCAGAGGGAGCTGCCTGAAATGTGATGAATTGCTTTATGTGATGTCACTTGAGTCGGAGCTCAATAAGCTCGATAAGAAGTAGTTGGAGGTGAGATTTTGTCCTGATGAAGTCTCAACTGCTGCTCTGGAGCTTATTGATTTGCCTTGATGTAAGAGGCAAAGACAGCAGCCATTTTCTTTTCTTTACTTAGGGGGACGAAGGCAACTGGTGCCTGCTACTGCCCCAACTTCAAGTTTGAAAATAAAAATATATAACTGAATGTAGATCCATTCCCGAACACTTTGACCACCAGCATGTCTCAAAACTACCCAACTGTCAACCAAACTACTACAATACCCACCCGGCAGAGTTTCAGTGCACCCTCAAGCACATACGTAGTGATCCATGTCACTCAGTGCAAACAAATATTTGTCTTGTACTCAAGGTCTGATTTAATCAGATGTCATCCTTTTTGTTTGACCCTTTTGATCCTGTTTGTCTGCCTCTCAGAACTTCTCAAGTAAGACTCTGAAACGAACCAGGAAGTATGTTATCGACGGCGTGGAGGTGAGTGTGACCACCTCCACGATCATCAAGGATGATGAGAAGAAAGATGAGGAGATGAGATTCCTGAGGTATGTGAATCACCCGATCCCTCTATGCCACAAATATTCACTTTCTGTTTTCATTCTCAGCGAATGACATCCATGAAACTCAGCGGTCTGTTTATTCCTCCGCTCACAGCGAAGTCTGTGCAGTGATGTGTTCCCTGTTGGATGTTGCTTTGTACTACACATACTATTTTAGGAATCCTGAACTCTTGGGCTTTAGCCCCTTAAGATTTGAGTTTACAAATACCCAAAGTGTTATGGAAAAAGACTCATTTAAGTACTGGTCTCTTTCTGTACAGTCTATGGATGGAAAAAACAATAAAATGTCTCTGAAGTTACTTTTAGATCGGGGGGAAGATGAGGTTAACTGTATTGTGAGTCTAGATGTTCAAATAGAATGATCAATACAGATTTATAATTGTTGCCAACCATTACTGGGGTTTTTTTTGTGTTTTTTAATGAACAATTTGTAAAGTTAAGTCTGGAACAACTTGCACTGCCTTTTGAAGTCATAAGGTGCATTACTCGTGCCATCTACTGGTAGGAATATAACATTGCATGTGTGACCACAGGACCTCCAACAGACTATGGTCACATTTTTACAAGGAGACCGACATGGCCCTTGAGGGGCTGAGAGAAAAAATAACTTTTCTGATATTTGCCCTACAAAAAACTGTATTAGAGTAACCGTATTAACGTAAATATTATTATTTACCACATTTGCTTGTCTGAGAAGTTGTTAAACTTAAAATAAACTTTTAATAAATTAAAGTTGTATATATGTTAAAGTAAGAGTCTGTGTGTTTGTGTTTGTGTTAAGACGTCAAGAACTGCGTGAGCTCCGTTTTCTGCAGAAGGAAGAGCAACGTGCTCAGGCTGGGCTAAATGCCAAACTGGAAATACAGAGAGAACAAATGCAGAGACGCTTTGACCAGGAGATGAATGTGAGTCACAGGTTTCACATTGCTACTAGTGTTCTAACTATTTGTCCGAAAACTTCCATTTCCCCATTAGCTTGGTAGCTTAAGGTGACCTGCGCATAACGTCATCAAGCAACAGTCAGTCAACAATTTTCCTTTTTTTTTTTTTTTTTAAATGTCAAAGCTAGCTAAAGAAAATCCCACTATGTATCTACACGATGATTAAAATGCAAACTTTAGCATAGAACCTCTTTGTACAAATATACAGTACATACAGAAAACAAGCTACAACATGTAATACCTCGGAAAATTACGTTTTAATACTTTTTAAGGTCCTTAATTGGCGCTAAATTGATTTATCAACTTTTATACTTTTTAAGACACTGCATACACACTGCATTCTCTTATGTCTTAGTTATATATAATGTGATTGCTTTTAGTGGTGCAATACAAAATGCGGTAATACTGTTTTTTAAATGTTCACCAAAGCCAACATTGTGCTTGTTTGTTCTTGGTGTGGCCCAGGCCAAGAAGAAGCACTATGATGTGGAGCTGGAGAACCTGGAGAAGCACCAGAAGCAGACCATTGAGAAGATGGAGAATGACCACAATGTTAAACTCAAGGAAGAGACCAAACGCATCAAATCAGAACAGGAGCGCGACCACGACAAGTTTCAGGATCAGATGAAACAAAAGAAAAAGGAGGTACATTGAAGACGGGTCAAATAAAGCTTTCAAGCTTCAGCCTGAAAAGACATGAATGTCACATAAATAATGTTTTGTCCATTTTCACATTGCTTTGCTTGCTCCCTTGTGTACCAGTGTTTAAATCATGTGTCTTCTTTTGATATATTTAGGTAAAACAATCGGTTGATAAGCTGCCCAGGAATCAGCGTAAAGAATCCTTGAAGCAGAAGATGAATTCCTTCCAAGAAATTAAGATAAGAGATGTAAGTTGTCTGGTCAACCGTCATTTGAGTCAACTGTATTTTTATGCATACTTCACTGGACTGGTTTTGAAAAATTCTAAGTACTGAGAAATTCATAAAATGTTGCTGAAAACGGAACATATCGCCTACAAAATAAAGTCCAATCAACCAATTTCGTCCTGTAGTGCTTTTTCCCGCCATTCCTTCATTCATTGTCTCCGTCCATGTCTTTCTCTACTCTGTAGGAGGATCAATTCTTGGCAACTCAGAAGAACCACCTGGACACGACGTTGAAGAGAATCATCTCCAGCAACAAGAGAGAGATTGCAGAAATGGAGAGGGGATGCCTTAACAAGAAACAGCAGCTAATCAGAGGTACAGTATATGTTAGGCATTAATTTAAATCAAATGCAACATCCGATCAAATGACCCCTTATTTATTGTCTTATTGATCTTGGCTTTCTGTGAAGTTTGCCAATTTCGCAGATTTTTGTTATTGTTTTGTATAATATCAATCAAATGCGCATTTATAAAAATAATTTCAAAATAATATATTAATTATTTTAAATTACATTATTTGATCGTATTTCTTATTTTTTTTTAGCCATCATCTCCTTGTAAATTATCATTTAATTCTCTCCTGATCTGACTTTTAATTCGGCTTCTTTTATGTTGATAGATCTCTTAGATAATTTTTACATGATAAAGACAAAAATACAATACATTTAATGAACGTCAGAATTTACTTTTCTTCTGTCCCCTCTTCACTTTGATTAGAGCGTGAAAGTACCATGTGGGAAATGGAGGAGAAGAACCTTTACGAGAGACACCAGTTATTGAAGCAGCAGTTGAAAGACCAGTACTTCCTCCAGAGGCATCAGCTTGTCAAAAAACACGAGAAGGTACATTTACAACTCTTCTTGCCACAATATGTTCACACCCACTATTCTACATCCATTTAACTTTGGATAGCATGTTAAAGCAAAATAAATTCTTGAATCAGGAATTCATTTTATATTTAGCTATTCAGCCTTTAATTAACTTACGTTATTCAGAGCTTCCATCTGTTTAAATTGTGGTTTTTATATGGTCTTAGCAGTGTCAAAGTATATTATTACATCTGCAAACAAATGAAATGAATGTGACAATGTTCTGTGTCACAACAGGAACAAGAACAGATGCAGTGTTACAATCAGCGAATGATTGAGATTCTGAAAGCTCGGCAGCAGCAGGAGAAGAACCGGCTGCCTAAGATCCAGCGTGGCGAGGCGAAGACCCGCATGGCCATGTTCAAGAAAAGCCTCCGCATCAACTCAACGGGCAGCTCCTCGGAGGACAGAGAGAAGATCAAACAGGTAGGGCTTGCAAGGGTTTTCTCACTCCATGTTTAAGAAATAAGTTTAATATATTCACTCCTTTTGTCTCTCTTTAGTTTTCTCTGCAGGAGGAGAAACGGCAGAAGGCAGAGAGGCTTCATCAGCAGCAGAAGCACGAGAACCAGATGAGAGAGATGATTGGCGAGTGTGAAGGCAACATCAGAGAGCTGCAGCAGCTACAGGTGAATGAGGGACAACACGGTCTCATCTTTTACACTTTTAGATCTTTTGGTTTGTTTCACAACTCCATCAAAGTTCCAAGGCTAAACGTCTCCAGTCGAGTCTCTAGAATGCAATTGTTAACAAGAGCTTGTTTTGTGCTTCAGAATGAAAAATGTCACCTGTTGATTGAGAATGAGACTCAGAGACTCAAGCATTTGGATGAAGAACACAACCAGCTGCTGAAGGACTGGAGGGATCAACTGAAACCCAGAAAGACGGTACTAGTTTATGCACGACTCTAACACACAGAACTACACTCATTATGTGAGTGATATGTTATGTTTCACATAAAGTATAAATGTACATCTTGCATGTAATGAACTGATTTAAGTTCTTATGATGGACCAGATAGCCTTGAGTTACTTTGTATACATTAATACAAAGCGGATCATAAAACTAGACCTAGTTACACAAATAGTTCAACATTTATGAGAAACATGCTCACTTGTTGTCTTGCTGAGACTTGGATGAGAAGAACAATACCACTCGTACCTACACATTAAGTAAAGAAGTAGAGCCAGCAGGTGCTTAGCTTAGCTTAGCATAACGAATGGTTGTGGGGAGAAATATCTAGCCTGACTCTTTTTAAAAGTTAAAGAACATGCATTGTGCGTCTCATTGGGCAGTGACTTCATGGAGTCTTGTCCCTATGCTAGTGTAAGAGAATCTTCTCTGGCTCCAGATTTATACAGCACTTCAAGAACAGATGTGAGAGTGGTGTCACCTCATCCTCTTGGCAAGAAAGTGAATGAGCATATTTCCCAAACTGTCAAATCTATTCCTTTAATTTAACAGAAGCTTGAGCATAAAAGAGCTCTTTTTCACAAATTACAACTAGTCTCTTACTGTCCATCTTTTGTATTATATATCTTTTTTACAAAAAAACAACTCATTACCGGACTATATACAGTATAGTCTACTTAGTCAACCAACTTCAATACAGACTGCAGAACACCAAGGAACACACTTTAATAGTTCATCCTGTGTTAGAATAGGAATATTCCATCTCTACAGCATTAGACAAATTAAAAAAAAAAAAAGTTTATATGCAAGCTTGGTCAGATAATCTCATACATATTCTGATTTCCACCCTTCTCCTCCAACCCCCTTAGGCCCTTGAAGAGGAGCTAAACTTGAAGAAAAGGGAGCAGGAGGCTTTCTTTAAGATGAGTGAGAAGTCGTCTTGCCCAAACCCAAGTTCTCCCAACAAACTCTCCAAGTTTGTGCCCTACCAAGACTCTTCCACAACATAAAAAACATCCTCTGTGACTTTGCACAATAGTTCCTCCCACCACACCCTCACTTGTACACCCACAGGCGTTACAATAGCCTGCTGCCTCAGTTTTAATTTGCTTCGCCTGCAATGGCAGCATACATATCCCTCCATTGGGTTCCTTTAATGTTTTAGTGAATATTTATGTTTTTACTAATGTTCTAAGGTTTTTCTTTTCTTTTTTTTTCTTTTTAAATTGTTTTAGTATTTGATGGATTTAAAACTCTTCATGTGCTTCACATGGCCTGATTACATCTGCTCCCATACAGAGTGTTTTGATTTCCTTTTTCTGTTCATGTTGGCTTCTTATTGCCCACCAGTGCAACATGAAGGTAATATGATACTGTGGCATAGAGCTGAAGATACCAAAAATAATATTATTTGGTTGGGAATAATTTCTTTTTGCGTAAGGAGGAATAGTGTTTGTTCGTTTGAGAACTGGTGAGCCAGTACATAAGCACTTTTTGTTTAATGATCAGTGCCGTCTTCCAAATCAGTGCCGTCCTCCAAACAGAAACACACCCAAAATTTGATAGTCACTGACCGTTTTCTTATTTTACCCCATTTCTGTATGCCTTGGCTCATTGACCCGTTTGTCCATAAGTTATATATCGGCTAATGTCTGCTTTTATTTATTTTCACTGACAAAGACAACCATATCCAGATTTATCACTGTAAATGTTCATTTTGATGTATATTTTTTAACACCCCTGTTATGAAGAATGTTCTTATTATTTTGTATTGTTTGAAATGGGGGATGGGGCTTAATCCAGATAGGAATTAATTCGTTTTTTTAATGATTACTTGGGTATGATTTTTTTATTTTTTTTTAACAGATGAGGATAGACTCGAACCACGTTACTATTATTTGTTTTTTTGTTTTCTGTTGAATTTTTACTGTAAATTCAGTCACACTGGATGGGAACCGATGAAGCCAAAGCAAAATACTGTTGTTCTTTGAGGGACGTTAGATAGGGGATTTAAAATCAAAGAAATGTACTATGTGTATAATTGTTATACCGTGTGCAGTAAATGCACTGCCTGCTAACCAAAGTGCAATATTACATGTATGTCTTTGCTAAGCTTAAAGAAGTTTATTTTTCTTAAACTTAGTCTTCCTTTGCACTGAGAGGGGGAATAATATGAAGAGTTTAACTCCAAAAATAGATTCAACAACTTTTTGAAAGAACCGGCATTGATAAATTATTGAATCATACTCAATATTTTTGAAAGCAATGATTTCTGATTTTATAACTCAACTCTTCATATCATTTTATGGGAGTACAATAATTCAGCCTGCTGTAAGGTGGCTCTAGATGTTAAATCTTCAACTGAAACCTAACCTTTGCAGCTGAGGAGCTTGTTGCCTTGTCAGGTGAGAGAAAGTGTTTTTTGTTTTAAACAGTTTGGCCTGCAGATTTACATTGAACCAGGTCAGTAATCAGGTACAGCTTTATCTTTCTCTTCCTCTCATATGCTTTCTCAAAAGTATTTAAATTAGTTGTAAAAATTCTCTCTTTTGCCATGTTTAATGGCTCCATGTATGCCTTCCTCTCTGCCTCAGTTTACATGATATTGTTTGTATGGAGGGGTTGTGAGTGTGAATGAAACTGTAACAGAAGGAACCACTGTTGTAAATTACTCAATAAAGGCAGATTTTCTAATGAGTGGATTGTGGCGCAGGCTCTTTTTTTTTTTAAAGGTATCGGCAGTAACGCAATCAGCACGGCCGTTTTGAAAGTGAAGGACGAAAGAGACAATGGGTCATTGGATAGAAGGCAAGAAGATGATCACCTGTCTCGATATATGCAGGAAACCTGAAGCTCGTCAAAAAACATGCTTATGCAATTTCCCACGCAACTGTTTTTCATAAAGGAAGAATGTTTGGTGAGAATACACACATCTAATGCATACTTCAGACCTTTTCTTTTTACTGACAGAGCCATTATGTCTCTGATGATAAATTTTTGATTTCAATTTGCAAAGTTTGAATATGAGCACTATAAATGAATCATTAATAATCTGACGTTTAAAAGATCGAGTATAATGTCTAAAAAGTCAAAACGGAATGTTAAGAAAACGTTCTGAAAGTGTGTCCAAAACAATTCATTGTCATACAAAGACCAAGTATATGTTGGAAAAAAAGTCAGTGTAGTATGACGAAAAAAAGTAAAACTGTAAGGGATAAAAATTAATTCCAGCAGTGAATCATTTTCTACACATTAAAATCAGACAGTATGACAGGTGTACTGAAAAATGAGAAACTTTTATTGACTTAAGGATTCAATGTAATGAAAAATACAGAGTAAAAAAGTAAATAAAACTACAATATTGAAATGACACCATCAACCCATACATTTGCCTTACACTGTACTGAACCTTCCTGCCTTTTGTCCTCATAAAATAATCCTCAACAATACAATTTCTTCTTCTTCCTAGTTGGTAGCATACCATCTCTTTTGTATGAAACATGGGTGGAAGGTGGAATAACATAGCAACTAGAAGCAGTGTTACAGCTTGTAGCCTTGTCTGATTGTTTAGAGAGCATGGATGTGCATTTTTTTTCCCAATGTTGCTTTTTCATTTAGTAAAGCGAACACAAGTGACTTAACTTTTTTTTTTTTTCATCTCTTGAAAGAAAAAGAAACAAAAACAACACAACCCTCTGTATTACCCCCAACTAGCAGATCCCATTAACCAACCAACCAAAGTAATTCTTGGCTCTTTGTTCCTCTAATACCCTCATCAGTACAGTGTAAAATACCTGACAAATGGACCATCAAAGAAAAAGTGACAACAGCAAAGATATGCCTCTCATTTCTGTACAATAAAAAAAAATTATTTGCTATACTGACCATGCTTGAGACCAGTCAAGCACCAATGTAAAACATAATATCTTTTACAATGGTCATACTTTGCAGTTATTTAAGCACCAAACTTCGGTTTAGAATAGACTGTACATATACTGTACGTCATTGCACAAATCACTGTAGATCATCAATTTCTTATTTCTTAGGTCAGACATCTGGTACCGATATGCAGACGTGCTCTGCAAGTCACATTTCACTTATTATTTTTGGGTGTAACATGATAATGTTAAAATACTTCTCGTCAGTCAGTTTGGATGTTCCAGGCTCATCTTAACATTGGTGGATAATTAGTATAAAAAAACATAGCTGATAAAATGTAAAACAAAGAAATAAAATGCACTGTGGCATTCTTCTCCTTCCTTCAGCATGTGCAAACCTTAAAATGATCTCAAATGAAACGACGGAAAAAGTGCACAACATTAATTATGCAGTCGACGAAGAAAACCATTACAATAACACAAAAACTAATATGCATGTCTCTCGTATAACAAACACTTCTACTTGGCACAGACATCTCTAGTAATTGCTAATAGCACTTTAACGCCCAGATGTAGTCATTGAACTCCCCCTGTGAGTTCATGTGCAGTCTTTGTCTACTGCTGGATTTGAACATCTCGTGTTTTGTCCTGGGATGTGGAGATGATTCCAACAAGGACTATATCTACAGTTGCATACAGTATAATAAGCACATTAGCACTTTGCATATAATATAGAGGCACCGTATCAAAGAAGGCATGGGTGGAGATACAGTTATGGTTGTTTTAACGACTAGCTTAAGTTATGGAACAACTGACACAAGCTGCGACTAGCATATGGCAACGAAACGAAAGCACTTAATGTTAAATTGAGATAAAAACAAAACAAAAACGTAAACATCACAATACCCAACAAGCTCTTGTGTTATTGCTGGTTTGGTTTAGGTAGAATATTCTTATCAAAATGCAACATAACAAAAATGTGTCACTATAAAAAAAAAAAGGTACCTTTTAAATAAAAAAATGCTAATTAGCTACAAAGTAGTGATATTTTGTTCATTTAAACCATTAGTTTGTTTATTTTTTCATAAGGTGAAACATTCACTCTAAGGTTTCTTGCTCAGGTAATTTGAGGGGATCCAGCTCTCAGCTTCTTGTCCTACATTCTTACAGAACCACCAGCCGCTGCTGTTTTTTTCCATTACCTCAAACACCGTGCCCACTTTGAAGCTGGATGTTTGGTCCTCCCCTTCAAAGTCCGCCACAGCTAAATACAGATCATCCTTACTGTGCTCCATGAGTAGAGGTGGAAGCTTGTCCTTGGGCGGGCAGGGCTTCAACTGGGGCTTGGGAGGAACTGGGACTTTATTCATTTTGGGCTCTTCTTTCTCTTTGTTTGCAGGTGCCTGAACAAACCCTTTGGGTTTAGGGGGAGGGGGTCTGCTGAGTTGGGTTGGTGGGCCCTTGGAAATGTCCAGGATATCTTTTAGAGCAGATGGAGGTTTGAGCTCTGTCGGGCTGGATGGAACGGTCTTCTTTGGAGGAGGAGGTCTCCTTGGAGCCATGGTGGGGGGTCTCTGTGGGGGTTCTTTGTGGGGAGGCACTGCTGGTTTTGCAGGAGGTGATGAGCTCTCCTGGCTATGACCATTAATAGGTTTTGGGGGGAGTTTTGGCTCGTTGCAGTGCTTACCATTGTTGAGAGTAGGGATATGGATGGGGGGAGAGCTAGGGGGTGCACTGGGGTGGGAACTATTTACTGCTGCTGAGGTGTCATTCTGATGGTTCACCTCAGCTGACACAGAGCTTGGATCTGCAGGTTTTGGGGGCCTCAGCTTGCTTCTCAGGTTGGTGATGTCTAGTTTGTTCTCTGCCGGAGGATCTGGCTTGGCAGCTGGAACAGGTTTAGGACGGATCACTGGCTTTGGCTTCATAAACACTGCTGGGCCAGCTGCTTCTGGTTTCTCCTCTTGCGCTTCTGATTTGGGTTTTGGTGGCTGTTTAGGTACGGGTTTCAGATTAAACTTCTTCACCTCTTTGGCAGAGATCTTGTGGCCACATTCAAGACCCATCTCATTCCGAAGGTGAAGAGCTTTGCTCTTATCTTCTTTCTTGGTCTCTGGTGGTTTGTCCTGTTTGAAGGGGGCTGCTTTGGGTGTAACCAGTGGCATGATGACGCCAGGAATCGGGGGTTTTGGAGGCAAAGGTTTGGAATGATCAGCCCTTGGTTTCTCAGATGCCTCCAATTCAAAGCTCTTATTAATGGACTCCCTTCGAGGTGGAAGAGCTGGTTTCTCCTCACCTGGAGGAGCTGCTGGAGCTGGAGGTAGAGGCCCAGTGATAGTGGGGGGCCCCTTGTTGGCACTGGACTTCCAATCTCTCAGTTTAGGCCGGGCACAGGAGTCGAGGGCTGGGTTTGGCTCATCTGGTAAAGGTTTGGACCAGCTGTCATCTGTCCCTGAAACATTTGAAGGTCCACCATCTTCCAGTCTCAGCTTCTCCATTTCATTGGGCAGAGGGGCAAGGAAATTAGGTCGCAGGGCATTACTGGTCTTCTTGTACTTGTCAATAAAGGTGGCGGGGGCCCATCCCTCTTTGTCATCTATTTGGATGTACCACCAACCACCGTTATTCTTCTCAATCACCTGGTAGGTGAAAAAGGAGTCATTTAATTAAACTTTAACACTATAAAATGCATGACAACAATAAATGTAAAGACAAAATGTACAAATTCGTGATTCAAACCAAAATGTTTCACTGAAATCTTTCCAACTTTAGAAACTGCTTGACCCACCTCAACTTTGACTCCGGCTTGGAAGCTAATACCATCGGGGATGGTGGTCTGGAAGTCTGATATGGTGTAGAACTCCTCCTCAACTTGAGGAGGAATCGGCGGCTTTGGTAGGTTTGTACCACGTGGCTGTGGAATGTGAGAGGGGCACATAACGGTTAACTCGATGAAAAACATTTTTATGAGACAAACTGAGCAATTCTCCAATGCAACAGGAATCCACACTGTGTCATATAGAGATTTGAAGTGCATCTCTTACAATGGTAAGATCTCTGCGTGGTGGAGGTCTATGTCTTAATCCCGCTTCTGTGGAGGGATAACACATTAATTAATCAATTTTCTTGTACAACTCAACAAAATATGTGAAAAGCAAAAGGCAGCTTATTGTATTTGAAATTCACTTCCTACTTTTGTTGTCAGAAAAAAACGAGAGTCTGTTTTCTTTTTGGCTGTTGTCTCGGTTCTCTTTGGCTGCATTGTTTTGCTGGTTCTGTTTAGAGAACCCATCTAGATCATTGGTGCTGGCATGAGCAGCAGCACCTGCTGACTGCTTCTGGCCTTGGATATCAGTCTTCTTCAGGTAGGAGGCTGGGGCCCAGCCCTCACAGCCCTGGTACCTGAGTGGAGGAGAGATGTACAATCACTGGCTTCAGACGACAACACCACCTGTAAAGTCTACTCAGTCTGTACCATGAAATCCGTCAGTTAAGTATTTATTTTCCTCATTAGTAACTAAGATATGATGTTTTTAAGCACAGTTACGTGTCTCGTTAGTGAATACGGATTTTTTATTGTTTCCGATATTTACTTTTCCAGAGTTAATGTCATTGATTGTATTACCTGATCTTCCACCAGCCCTCCAGGTTCTTCTGAATCACCTCTACAATCATGCCCCTCTCAAGGTCGATCTCATCCTCGTCCCTGGCCGAGTATTGGTAAATCACTGAATACTTCTCTTCTGGAGTCATATAAAGAAAATATTGTTAGAGAAAAGAACATAATAAAAATCATTGTGGTACAAATGAATGTGAATGTAGAGTAACGGCATTGGAGACAAAAACACACGGTGGACACTCAGATTACAAGAGCTTAAAGCGTTTCAAACTGTAACTTTGTAAAGTGTGGTGCTGCTTTTATGAAATCATTTAAACTTGTTATGGTATGCAGTGAAAATGTCTGTAAACCTTTAAGGAAAAGGCTAAAATTCCTTTCTCCATCATAACACTCTCCTTATGTAATTTAGGACGACATACTACGATCGGTACAGAAGTGCATCGGCTTCACATTGGCTAACTGATTTATATGAGGCAAGGCTTGAGCAGCATCGTGTGGAGTGAGAAGGTGTAAGTCACAGAAGTGTGCAACACACAAACAAACATGTTGACCACAAACAGAACACATTTGTTACTCGGCTAGAAATACAGTCATTTCTACTATTCTTAATATGTGTACTATTATTACATATTATAGATAGTCTATGTAATGATATGGATCGATCAATTGTTTAATGCTGGTTAATTAAAATGCTACATAATTCCTAATATGTTTTTATTTTATTTATTTGTATTAGACATTAATCCACCATCCACATTGCATGCAAGGATGCTTGGATATGTCATGCAACAAACATTTCATGCAAACACATGGACAAACATGCATAGAGTTGTGTATGCGCACCCGTGTACACACACACACACACACACACACACACACACACACACAGAGAAATGAAAGAGAAGAAAGGCATGCGCTCCACCTTGCCCAAAGCCTGTGCTGAATAGATCCCCTAAAGTTCTTCGACGACCAAAGTGCCTTGGCAGTGACCAGAATCTCCGAGGCACTGACATACCAGCACAGTAAGTGGGGAAAATAGGAAGTGAACGTTACATATTCCATCTGGAGGATGTTTTCATCGTAAATGAAAGGCAGAATTGGTGGGCTTATCAGAAATCAGAGCTCTACTTGATGCTGTTTTGACCAAAGAAAACACTCTAAATTCGTGCACATTTTCTGTTTTATTATTATTGTTATTTTGAAACAATAGGGTTACAGGTTCCACCTGTGCTAGATTGACTATTTATTTTCCTTTAGATCTCCATCGCAGTTTCAAACCCTCTGCTTGTGATACTACTGTAGCATGCTACTGTCACATAGCATAGCTTTATTTATAAGTTACTCTTTAAAATAGTATGACCATATAGTTCACCGTTAATTAGGATCTGTGGGATGATGTTGGCCCTCTTCATTGTCTTGGGACTATGTAATTAAATCTGTCATTACTGGAAGACTTGCTGCCTAGTATAGGGACAACTTGACCATATTTTAGTATCTACTTGCACAATTGCTAACTTATTTGCTTCATGTCAGTGGAATTGGATGCTGAATATGAGTGACTCTCTAATTCCAGGGCTCTGCGGATCGACCTGCCCAACGAAGACAGGGAAGCCAGCTCGATGTCCACTTATAAACCATATAGTTCTTAGGCTTGCCAAGACTTGAGATATGGTCTGTAATTTGCATATTGGCTGGCTACCCGTCTTTGCTTAGTAGGGCTCCTACCATGTGCTTTACTGTGTCATTATAGCATCGTTCTTTTAACATCTACATTTTATGGAATCTCACTAGTATTTATGCCAGTGATAGCTATTTATTTTATTTGTTTAAACTTTTGTCCAAGTTTTACTTTATATTGTATTTCTTACATACTGTATATTATGTGTATTAATCTACAGTCTATAGTATTAATGGTCTATGTCAGTCTATGAATATAACGCACACTGAAACACCCGCACCTGTTGTCCACACACTGGCAGTGTCTCTCCATCATCAAAGAGCAACTCACCAGAAAAGAAGCATTTCATCCCTCGATGTGCAAATCATACACATTTGACTACTTCTATTTATTTTGAATGTCTGGCTACAGGGGTCAAATGGTGCATGCCAAATGACACGACACTATGCGTGATGTGTGTAGCACTTAAAGATGTTTTGCGCTATTGCCTTTCTGTCAACATTGCATAAAAGTAAAGTTTAACTCTAATTATTCAAATGGTAAGACATAACGTACACATACAGTTGGTTTGAGAGTAAATGCTATATGGTCTCTTTACATACATTTTAACAACAGCACCCAGGTTGAACATTTTTTGTACCTTCTTCCCCTGGAAGAGAGAAGTCATCAGGGTCATCCTGAGCCTCAAGGCAGGTGGCAGGGACCCAGCCCTGGGCATCATCTGAGCTAACAAACCACCACCCTAAATGAGAAGAATGTTTCCATTAAAATCCACTTTCCAGAAAGTGAATGCACAATTCCATCCACTACTTTTGTGCAAATATTAGGAGTTGGGTGCATTGAGATAAACACGTGGTGGCTCTGATTCTCCAGTCTGGTGCCATTAAACCATTGCAGAAGAAGAGGCGCAACTAGACAAGGTAATTATTTAAACACCAGTCAAACCTCAAACAATGGAGAAGTATGAGGGAAAACATGATGGAATTATAGTATTTCACAGATGAGGGGATTGTAACATCCCTACATTCTGAATCAATACATGAAATGAACATAAATACACCGTATTCAAGTACACCGGATGCCATATAGAACTTACCAGATTCATTTTTCTCAATGACCTCCACCACCTGACCCACATGCAGGCTGACCTCGGAGCTCTCCTGCTTCTCATAGTCTGTTACTGCCACATACTGGTCGAGGAAGAGAGGGTCTGCTGAGGTGGAATCTCCTATTAAGGGGAACGAATCAGACACAAGCTCATTTAGCTCTTTTGTCCTAACTGCTCCTTTGTTAGGCAGACCAAGGATACAATCTCAATAATTTAAAAGGCCTCTACTCATTACCAGCTGCTTTTCAGTGAGGATCTTTGGTAACATTTGTTAATGGGATTATTAAATGAATGTAGACCATACAATTCATAAGATTGCATCTGTGTGGCTTTGAGATATTGACCTTTAAAATGGCTTGGATCTCACTGACTGAGGCAAATATGACCTTTTAAAATGCCAGATTTTATACTCACTTAAAGGAACTTTACTGAAAAGCCAATTTAATCACGGTCTTTACAAAAAAGCCAAAATGCATTTAATAACCGAATAAGTCATTTTTGGCAAGAATAAATTCCAAGGTCAAAATTTGATCAAAAACTTGAGCAAAAAGGAGGCTTATCTAGAGTATGGAGATTCACCCAGACATGAAGCAGAGGAGGGAGCGGATGTGATTGGAGAGTTGGTGTGAGCGAAAGTGAGAGAGGAACAACAGGAGATTTGGAGAATTGGAGTGAAAGGTAGGGATTTAGTGTAGAGGGTTACGTCAATCATCAACATGGCCGTGACTTCCACACAGAAACAAACCAGCACCACTAAGACCCGCCACCAATGTTAGCACTGAGGAATCCTGAGAAACATCTGTGTTAACACTTCAGGGCTCACAATACAACCAGTAGCACAAATATATATCACTATGGCTCATTTCTCTTGATTTGTGTACTTTAAATCTGTCTAAATGTCGAGACAAAACCCTGATGGATGAATTAACTTGATATGTAAAAAAACTATTGAAAACAAAATACCTTTTGGTTGATACATAGTGTGTTGTAATTTTAACAATCTTTGAAATCAAGTGCAGGAATGGTGAAGGGACATTAAAATCCGCCTCAGTGTACAGATCACTGAAGATGTTGATTGGACACATTTCAAACAAATGTGTTCACAACACACTGGCAGATGGAAAACTTTTAAAATCTCAAAAGTATAGATGTGGTCAAATTCTAATTGTATGGTGGTTCATAAAACAGCTTTAAATACCACAACCTGTCTTTACATAAGTCTTAAGAACTGGAATCAACACTAATATCAGCTTGAGTTTAATCTTAATCAAAGAACCACAGTTAACTCAAATACTTAAATACTTTGGGCATATGAATTAACAAATTGGATGAATAAATATGTCATAACTATAAATCAATTCATGCCAACAACAAATCGGTACACAAGTTTACCAAGGCCAGTTTTCACTTGGAAGATCAGTGGGACTGATAAAATGACCCAAGTGACTCAGGTTAACTTTTACATTACTAATTAATAATAGGACTTTCCTAATACACAAAAGGCTACTAGCAACCCGCTGGTTGACACACAGAGCACGACCAAGGGTTTACTACCTCGCTTTAGGAAAGTAGTCGCTCTCTCCACAACCCCTAATGGAAAGGAAAACAACTTAAGAATATTAGATGAATGGAGAGAGTAGAGAGAGAATATGAAGAGAAACAGTGAAACAATGGCAAATACGGGTTCTATAATAGTCAACTTCCAGGAAAACATTCAAGTATAGACAGAATATGTGTCTTTGTTATGAAACAAGAGCATTTGGGCTGGTGGAATCAATCGATTGTTTTACCTGTGCAAAAATCTGTGCCCACTAGATGGAGACAATGGCATATTATTTACTACAGATGAATTGTAGGATGCTTGTATTTGTAATGAAAAGAAGTCATAGAAATTGGTGTCTCATAAGAGCAGTAAAGCTACAAAGTACCTGATTCTATTTCTCCTCTACACTTTTGTTTTCAAAGACAAAATAACACACCATAGCCCAACATCACCTAACCCTGTTTAATTTCAAATATAACAAATAAAGCAGCGTCTTACCTGATTTCTTCTTTCCAATGGGTTCCCTGTTAAAGAGAGGAAATCATCATGTTATACTAGGAAATATCAGATTGCAGAGCTATGGACATAATCCTGACATACAATTAATATGATCATTATGCATACTAATTCACTTCACCTCATGGATGTCACGACACATCTTACAACTTGAAATAAGATAAGACAGCGGCCTGAATTACAGAATCTCTCATATTACTTTCACAGTGATTCGTTATCCTTTAATCCATACTTTGTAGGGATGACCTTTAATAAAGAAAGGTATTCATGCATTTACTTCATTATACTACTGTTATTGTTACCAGTAGCATCTCTGTTGCTAATGTTTTCAGTTATCAACTTTGTGTGGCAAACTGGCACTACTCATACTTATTAAATCAACTTGGAATTTATTCAAGACAGATTTTTGAATTGTTTGATTAGTTTTTTGGTTTCACAGAACAACACCTACACCGATTACTCCAGCAAAGTTTTAACTATAATTTCTAGCATTATTGTTACCAGTTCATGCTATACATATACTACAGACACATGCAAAAAGATCTGCCTCCTTCTCCCATGCAGGTCCATGTGAATAACACACCTCTATAGCTGAATTCTGAAATTAAATCTGATGTTAAATTCAATAATCTGGTTTGTCTGGTTTAGACATTAGCCAGATAAATAAGCCATCACTCCACAGCAGCAGTCAGGAGCTGATTCAATGTCCAGATGCCCCGAAAAGTCAACTGTGGCCAATGCTTAGCATTACACCCTCTTGCTCACACACTCTCTCATACTCTTTGTTATCTAAATATTACTCTCCTACTTAATGGCCTTCCATCGCCTTCCTTTTTCCATCTCACATCTTCCATGTCTACTTAACTCACTCCTTCATCTTCCTTGGCAACTACAGCCTGTTCCTTCTCACTGCATCAACAGGAATGCTTTCGGCAGACCTGTTAATTGCAGAGGCTTAAGTCTCAATGAATCTATACCCCATAAGCGTGCCCATTAATGTAGTCTAAAAATAAATCCCTGGTCAGACCAGCAAAAGCAGTACCAATGATCTAGTTCTGAACAGAGGTGAAACCAGGGTCATGTTACGCACCAGACGAAGCCACTGACCTGGAGCCTTGGCCTAATATGATTATTTTACTGTAACTAGTTTAGAGTATCAAATCAAATCTCACACTCATAGATGTTCATGTTACTCTGAGGCTGGTTATGAAAATAAAAAGCATGGGGCCAACTTCAATTTCAACTTTCTCGGGAACACTCACAGACGAGCCCAGTTGAGTCATATGGCGGCCACGTGATGAATGGGAGAACAAATAAGAACTACAGGGGAGTCGTGAGAACACACTTCACAGGTTTTCTGTTACAGAAAAGAGGGGATGTGACATATTTCCAACCTCCTACTACAGGAGATCACGTGGACATATTCACTCTGGGTTCTGATTCTACACCTGGAGCCAAACCTTTCAGTAAACATGTGTTTACCACAAGGACACATACAATATCGATTTGAATGGTAAATGACACCCCTCCTCTCATAATGCCTCTCCCTTTTCTCCCACTCCTCCTTGCTTCACCTCAACCTGTCCCTTCATCTCCTTCTGTCCTTGTTGTATATTACTGTATGCTCTCCTCTTCATTTTTTCTTCCCCTATGATCTCCTCTACTTTCCCTTTCCTTGCACCGTCCTTGTTACAACACTTCCTCTCTTCGACAGACTTCTCCCCCCCCCCCCATATCTAATCTGGTTCTCTGACCCTCTATGTCCTCTTTACATTGAAGCACTCCTCTTCCAGTCCTCATCAGCTTCTCCTCCCTTTTCCTCTCCTCTTAGTTAGCTGCTCTTAAGGAGAAAGTCTAAGATGCTTCTCTCAGTGCAGTAGATTTACAGGCCATGATAAATCTTCTCCCACATTGGCTGCTGTGTCTGTACACCAGCCCTGTTGTCAGTCAGCCAAACAACAGGCTGCACTAGCAGAAAGCAGTAATCCAATTTCAATAAAGACAAACCAAGGTCTTTCCTATATTCATACACCTCAAGCAAATGCTCCCCCTTTCCTACCTCTCCCAACACATGCTTGGGGTTTTATTGGAGAAAGGAGGTAGGTGTCCTTTGCAACCTCCTCTGATTTTAATCATACAACTAGTAGACAGCTCGAGAGTTCTTCTTGGCTACGCATTCTGACTGGATGTGGAAATAACATTGTCATTGCACTGTTTTATAGTAAGTGGTGGAAGAAGAAGTCAGATACTTTACTGGAGTAATAGTAGCAAGAAAGAAAGAAAGAAAGAAAGAAGAGTTACATATGGTTATAGTTTTCACACTAGTAAAAATGTCGGGATAAGAGAAACATCTCTGAGTGACACGTCCACACAATTACGATGTTATCATCACACGCCTGAGCAATACAGCGAACTCAGTAAACCACCTGACTGCAACAGACCACACACTTCAAAAGTGGCATGAAATCCATCCACATTACAGATGACAATATGGCAGGCTGGTGCAAGCACCCGTCTCGTATTCAATCCCCATAACAGCAACGTGTCCTGTTAACTGTCCTTGAGCAAGAACCCCCAGCTGCTCACTCAGTGCAAGTACACTCCTGATAGACATTACCTAATCACCAAGAATATTAATGCTGCTTTCCACAAGCTTTCATAATGTTATTTGCTTTACTTTACAAGATTAAAAGATTGAAAATAACATGTAAAGCCACAATGTGTAGAATTTAAAGATGCTCGCTGTATTATTAAAACACTTTGGCAGACGAATAAGACACACACCTAGGTGCACAGTGAATGAAGAGCTGAAATGAACACACACTTCATCAACTGTCACAGGGAGTGTGTCCCTTATATACAAAAAAAAAAAACAGACAAAAAACGATAGATTTTGAAAGTTGTTGCGTATCATAAAACATCTAAACACAGTGGCATTTCTGTCAAATGCACCAGGAGCTGCAGCATCAATAATGAATCTATAAATTTACATTTTGCAATTTATTAACTAAATGTCAAGGTGACTGTGGGGGACCCTTGGTATATAAAACAGAAACACTCACACCTGCACTAGACAGGTGCACAACTAGCCATTACAAAAACTGAAGAGTATGTGTTTTTGGTTATGGAGTGCATCCATGCTGCCAAACGAATAAATTATGTATATTTGAAAATGGCGGCATGCATACTGAAGTCGCTAGACTTTTGAATGTGGTATTGTTCACTGTTGTTCCACAATGTGACATTAAGTGGATACTTGACACAATACCTAAAAAAACCCCATTAAATTAAGTAAAACTTTCAAACAATTTGCTAGTAGTAGTAGTACAACAACAGGCTGAAGTACTTTCAATTCTCCTATAGTAACAGGGTATTGGTGCACACTAATGTTATGTTCAATGTTAATTATCAGTGTAGTATAATATTATAGTGTAAAGTTTGGGACACAGTGATAGTCTCTCACTTCAATGACCCAGATTTTGCAACCAAGTCTTACAAATTGAAAACCCCGTTCTCTTTACATGCTACATGCTTACTGCTGGCCCTACATGCACTCCCGCCATACATCACAGGACTTATCAACTCAATTTCCTGCTGACTGAGGCAACTTCGCCTCAACTCAACGCCCCGGTGCCACACCTCAGAGTGTGACGACAGACCGGTTAAATCTAATAACTCAGCTGACACATGTTGGTGTAAAAACCATCTGCTGGGTCAAAATGTGAGCCCTGCATTATGGTCTCTATTAAACCAGCCACCCGTAACCCCGTAACTGCCCTGAAGGTGCTGGTGACCTTACTAACAACACATTTGTAACTGTGGCTCCCGTGTGAAGTTATGTGCTTGTCGACACACACTTTTGTGTGTATTGGACCCTGGCATTTATTGCTCAGTGATGTCTTACTTTTGGCACATTGTAACCGTCAGCGCTGCGTATGACGCTAATGTGTTGAGTGAGATTTAAAAGAGTCAACAGAGCAGGTCTACAAGTCTTCAGAGCAACTGTGCAGCCTCAGCTGTCTGGAGCCTCATGGCTGAACTGAGCTGCAGGGACATGCTTAAATGCTAACTCAGCATTTAAAAAGGGACCCGTTAAGTGTGTTTCTGCTTGAATAACCCTTCAGGAAGTTGTGCAACAGGATGACATCATATCCATTAGAGGGTGTAATGAATGCTCATTACCGGCAGGCTGGGGGTAAATGTTGGCAGGACATGACATCAGTCAGTGGAACAATGATGGGTGTTTTCCATTGTATGTGAGCCTGTGTCTATGTGTGTGCCCACGTGCGGTACTTACTCCTTTGGTGGGTTGAGGTCCTCAGGTCTGGTCTCAAAAAACACTCGGACTTCCTCGCACTGGGAGATGTAGACTGGCAGCTGAATGAGGGCCTGCAGGCACAAAAGACAGCGGGAAACTTAGGTAATCACATAAACTGTGTAAAATCACTTCGGTACACACAAAAGTTGACCAGAGGTTATATACGTATAGTGTTCATTGGGTTCATTTGTCAAAAGTTTTTTTAAACAAATCTTCCTCGACAGAAATTGAAGTTATAGTGAACAATTGTCTTTCCTTAACTTCACAGGGAGATAATGATTTGGCAATATGAATCTGACTCCCTTCAAATTTTCAATTTTTTAATATAATTAAAATTAAGATTAAAACATTTGCTCTTATTAGAATAACCCACTTATTGGATTGTGCAGCCTGGACAGACATATGTGCCCTCTAGTTTTTGATTTTAATTCTAGTTTCTCATATTGTCATTGTCCCCACTGATGTTCAATTTTAAGATGAAGAGCAAAAAGTTAAACGATTTCAGAATAAAAGCGCACCAATAATAAGGTAAACAGTGTTTTTCCAATCACACCAGCTGGTTTTTCTCTGGTTCTCAGTTCATTGATCCGTCTCAACTACCTTCCTCTCTCATCTTACATGCATGCCTCTGTGGAGGATCACAAGCAGCAAGACAGATAAGCCCCGACAACAAGGCTGGAAATGAAAGACAAACAGACACATTCGGTTTTCTCTTTATTGGTGAGATCTCTCTCTTGCACGCCTGGTCATGGTATCGCAGCGTCTCCGTTTCCGGCCCTTTCTTTCTTTGTTCCCTCCTGAGTCTGTGTTTTATCTGCTTCTCCTACTCTTTCAACCAAACCGCTAAAGGGCAGCAGTGAAACAGATAATCACCTCAACAGCTTGATGCCCCAAACCAGCAGACAGAATAACTGCCGCCAACAACCCCATGGTGACTCTCTCTCTCTTCCAGGAGGAAGCTAAGCCACTCCTTCTCTTCTTGCTGGCAGGCAAAGCTCAATGCTATCCATCAAGCTTCCTCTTCTGGCCTATACCTCTGATTTTAATACTCCTAAGTGTTTCAGTTCTGTCCTTTAAGGGAGCACAGTCTTTGTCTACCTCTCGTTCTCTCTGACACACACTGATATAACGTCAGGGCTGACGGATATGGAATGGAAGCCAAAGAACCAACCAAGGTGCCCTTGTCCCATGTGCCACATTTGCCTTGTCATACTTACGACCACACATCCAAGCCAGCAGCATGTGTTGAAGGAAAGGAGTGGGACTACAGCCATGGACCAAGTATAACTAATGTTTTCCATTAGCCCCAAAGTCATACGGAGTGTGCTCACATGTTTGTTGATTAATGGTACATACAATATTGCTACATTATTACGCAACAACATGACCACAAAATCTCCCTTACAGTAGCTTCATTCATATCGTGCATCTTGAGACTCTGAAGCCAAGTAGCTGATTTAAGAGTCGTGCAGCCCACAACGCTGCACTGTGCCTGAGGTGAACGTGCATCCTGAACCGGCAATCCTCTCCTTGGAGTTATTCCTCTCCTTGTGTTAGCCTGTGGCCCGGCGGCTCATTACAATTCTCCCCAGGGAGGAGACGGGAGGGAGGCACGGGGTACATTACAGCAAATGGACTTTATGGGTGTTCTTTACAGCAGGCAGCATTAAGGTAATTGTGTGTGTGTGTGTGTGTGTGTGTGTGTGTGTGTGTGTTTTACCTCCAAGGAAAAATAGGTAATGGAAATGAGAGATCTACTTTTGCACTCCGATAAGGTACAGTACATTGTGATTGTATGTGTGCACATTCACTTTTTGACATGTAGAGACGTAAAGCAAATGGGGATCCTCAGTCTTGACAAACATCACCAACAAAGGAGGCATATACATGAATGTAAAATGAAAAGGGCTGTTTGTGAAAAATGTAAAGTTTGGAGCAGTTTCTTTGCATAAGAAAGGCAAATGAAGGATAGTGGAAATTGCTTTATTACTTAAATACTTTTTGATGCAGTTCATCAAACTTTGTGACCTTTCTAGTCATCCTAGCTCATCAGTCTTACGTTTATGCACACAATCCCTGACTCCAGGTTTTTTTTTTCTTTCCTTCTTTCTTCTCTTTGACTACATTTCCTGACTTGAATAAAAACACAACACTTCACAACCAGGGAAATTCCATATGACTCAGGTTCAAGCCTCAGCTGTACAACAAAAGGGCTGACTCAGCTCTTCCCCGAGAAAAACATGAAGTTTCACCTTGTCAACCGTGGTGCATGTGGGGGTGGATGAAAATGCAATTTCTGTGCGTATAATAAAGTCCAGATTTGTTTCAGCAATTTGCATTTGGATCAAAAACAGTCAGCCCTAAACCCTTAATCATTTCGACAAAAATTGGATGTCAATCAAAGACCGTTCAACTCCCCCAACAGGTCAATGCAATCTTTAGAACTTTTCAGACATTTCCACAAAAACAACTTGGACTATAGCAACACCACTGGTTTAAAGGTTACTTAGCTATTCCCATTAACATCCACACCCATAGAAACAAAGCAACAAGTCCCATTCCTCCCCCAAACTCTTATTTTTCACATAAGTGTTTAAAGATGTTGCCTACACCAGCTGTACATTCCTCTAACCCCAGACGACACTTGGTGGAGTAGAGCTGTACAGCCCCTTTAGTCCTCAAATTGTTTATAATACATACAACTTTTCTCTTCACTCTGAAGCCTTGTGAATTGTTTTTATTCAGAAGTGACAAAAGACCTCTCGGCACCATATCAGAAACTAATTTGTACAGTGATGGTTACACAAGGCTCTTTATGGAGAAGGTCTCCCGTGGTAAAATAATACAGTTGAAAATATAAGACGGTATGAGTAAGGGCTAAGTCGGAACTAACTTGTAAAAACATTTTCAAATTTCCTCTCTCAGAGAGACAGAAGGATGTGTGTGTATGGTTTAGAGCCCCTAAGGCAAGCTTGTTAAAGAAACTAAAATTTTTAGACTGGGGATGTGCTTACTGGTGCAAGCTCAGCACCAGCAAGCTTTTTGCCTTTGGCTCAACTCTCTGAAGATAGTTACCACCACCACAACATGAGATACAACAGCAGCTCATTCTCCCAGGTATTTCTGAATACCAGAGACACAGTTTTACACCAAAATCATGTGGCTTTGTGGTCAAGATATCCGTTTCAAGATAATAAAAAGTAATTATCCCTGGTTGCAAACTGACTCAGTCCTCAGAGAAACAGTTGGCAACCTAATTAAGAAAACAATTACATGTTTAAAGCACTGCTTTGAATTCATTTCAAGGGCACAAAACTGTGTCTTGTTGCTTAGAAGCTGATCATCAATCATAGTGTATTCAATTAGGTTGCTGTGGTTACGTTTTTGTCAAATTGTAGCAATTAGTAGTTTGCTATTGGCAGTTTTATGGTTGCAGTTCTGCTACAGTGGAGACTGAGAATGTACAGTTGCATTTTTTTTCCTCTTGAGGCTAAGTGATTAACCTCTTTGGTAAAAGCCATGTAATGGGCTGGATAATGCAGGTTTTACATTATCTCCGTTTTAACTGGTGGAAAGAGCTGCAGTATTTTATCATGTCTTTCTACAACTTAACTGCATAAAAGTACATGTATAAATACCAGCCAGAGTGATCCATGTTGGTTTACTGTACATTCGAGAGATACAAAGACATTGGAATATCTGAGGGATGAAGCTAAGGGTTTGTGATTTGTGACTTCTATGTCCACAATTTGTAATCCAAGACATGTATTCAACTATGAATAAGCTCTACTGAAATCAGCTGGGTTGCTTAGTGTACTCTTGAATGTGCTGAAAGAAACTGTGGCTGCTGCGCTCATATATACACCAAGGGGATGAAAAAGAGTATTTTCCATTTTCCTGTATATGACTAAGTGGACACAACGTGGGTGGGATACTTGATTTTCTACCACTGTGCTCTCGAACTTGATTTTAGTACTTTGTGCTAAAGATGTGAATGCTCAGTGGTCAGTGTAGCTTTCTTGAAACTACTACATGTATGACCATAAGAGATGTCCAGGTTAAAAGGTCAATATACTCACCCTGCAGTATTCGTTGATGGGCCTTAGCCGTTTCATGGCCACATCTCTGATATGGCTCCTCCTAAAAAGGATCTTCCCTGTAACAAAGTAGGACAAACGGACTTAGAATTCAGAAAATCTGAGGTCAGTGTTGTTAGCAGTATTCCACAGCAAAATAATATAATATATTGTAATTACTATTCTTGATAATTAGCATGCAGGTGTCTGTGATATACACACAAACAATATTGCCAAATAAAATGTTCGATTTTGGATGATGCTCTTATCAAGAGCTACATTGAAAAGTTCAGAATCCACTGAGTGACAATAAGGACACAGTGGTTTCTACAAAACATACGTAGTTAGTGAATTAGCATGCAGACACAACACAGACGTGTAATCAATAACACTGACAGCACAATGAGGTGGGTAAGGAGCTAGGTGAATGGCTGGCCTTTCCAAGTCATGAATAAATGATTTAGGGAAAGCAAATTATGTGTGCATGACAGCTTAAATGCTATTCCCCTGCTCTTATCTCCAGGCCCAAATAACCACAGGCACAGACAAGCTGGGTCGCCATAACAATAACAAGAAATGGCTACAAATAGGCCTCTTAAAACACTCCTCAAACTTAACAGCATGTTGAAAATTTGAGAGCCAGCATCTATTTTCTCCTTGTTTTAGCTGCCGAAATTTCCCCGATAAATTCACAGAGACAGCTCTAATGCAAACATATATACGAGGCAGGAAGTCAAGGCTGTAACAAGATCCCTAACACAGAAAGGGACGCGTTTTGAGAAGTTACTGTATCACCTCCATCAAAAGGTTATGGGATTTGTTTAGAGAATATTTAAAACATGAATCTATCTCTGCTGAGCAGTCAATGGCCCTACAGTCTTATAAATACTATGTATGCCCATGTGCCCAGACTGCTCGTCTTGTGAATCAAGACTTAAGACCATGTAAGAAAAAAAAAAAAGATACATGAAGGGAAAATAAAGAAATAAGAGAGAATCTGTAGAGAGGTGTAGACTGCTGAGTGGTTGGATTTGTGGTGACTGTCTTAGAATACCTCAGATCTTACACACTTTATACAACAACCACAATCAAGTCCCCAACTCTGTACACTCTGTGCCTCAGACTGACTTGAGCTGACTCAAGTGTGTGACAAAAACAAAAGACAAAATCTACAGGAAATCATATTCATACACTTCCTAATAATGTGTTTGGTGCAGCTTGCTATAATATCAAAACAGCCAGACTGTAAATGTTGTCAGTGGGAGTAAAGAAACCTGATTGGTTTGGGGATTAATTTAACCTCCAGCAAATATTATATGCTGCTATAATAAGGCGTGTCAATTTTGAGAAGATAGTCAGATATTCACAATAATGGCTGTCCTTGTAGCTCCTCTTCTTGTGACTTATGATTTGGAACTTTTTTCACAGTAAACTTATGTGTTCCCCCCGACTTTTCCTCTCACGCCGCCATAAGGTTGACCATTTCAAATTTGAATGGACGACTATTGAATGATTGTTTTATGAAATTTGGTACATATATTCAATGTCCCCAGTGGATAAATCCTGATGACTTTGTTTATCAGTAGGGTCAAAATCACCACATATACAGTGAAATATCCTAACTTGGATTGGCATGCAATTTTGTACAGGCACTCATGGATTGTTGAATAAGTATCGTAATGACTTGAGTGATCAGCAGGTCAAAATTTTTGGTGTAGAGGGAAATGTCGACAATTATTGGATGGACTGCTCACAACATGATACACCTATTTGATATAAGTTACGAAAGACCTTTACTGTGAAACTACCCTCTGGCCAATATTTGCACTTTAACACTCACACTAAGGCTCCACAGAGCCACTAGCATGGCTGGAGATTATTTTGTTCTTATTCTTTATTCTATTTAGTGCCAACTCACAACAGAAGTGACCTCAGGACGGTGTTCTTGACAACATGGCCTGACTAGCCTAATTTCAAGAGAACAGTATAGCACTACGTGAGGGAGACTATTGAAAAGGAGATTTACTTTATCAAGAATGAGAGATGACATTCCAAATATCTAAGGTGTTGGCAAGTGTTAGCAGCCGAAAGGACACACTGTCTGGACAGCTCACAAAAGCTAAAGAGATTTGAATCTCTCTCTCTCTCTCTCTCTCTCTCTCTCTCTCTCTCTCTCTCTCTACAGTTTTCCAAAGCTCTCAGGGGTCAGGAGAGAAGCACTGACTCAACACTGCCCACTCTGTATGCAGGGCAGCATGGGTGCAGCTGAAAAAAAGGGCTTGTTTGGGGAGGAAGGAGGGAGGGGAGGATAACTGCTGTCTTGGAGCCATGGCTGAGGCAGGGTAGACTTTATGGCAAATCTTATAGCCAGCAGTGACCAAGGGTATCAAAAAACTTTTATTTCTTGAGGAGAGTGAGGGAGTTAGATGGAGAGAAGAGATGGATAGACATGTTACACACTTTGCATACAGAAAGCTCTTCTCAGCGCTCACCTCTTAATCCCTGGACTCACCACACATGAATTCCTCCGGTATATTCACCCTATTTTGTCTACTTGGAAGGATTTTGAGTAACTAAATCCATTATATAACACCTTAACACCAAGAAGCAGACTCAGTCACAAAAGTGAGGACTTATATTGGACTTGACTACTGTGATACTTGACTCCTTGGGTTGAGATTTAAGGGAGAAAAAAGGTTCGTCCTCGTAAAAATCCATGAAAAATGAAAAAGTTACATTTAAAACTGATTTGATATCTAATTATTAGGACTATGCATTGAAAGGACTTTGCCTTTGACAAAACCTGTGAATGGAAATACTTTTTTTATTACAAACATGAGACTTGACCAGAACATTTCTTGAATAATTTGAGACGACTTGAAACTTGCTTTTGAAAGACTTGACATGGAGTCAATTGCCAAGTTTTGTACGAGCAAGGCTCTAGTCAATGGACTTGCCGTCTTACTTAACTGACTTTCAATTGTCTTAAATGACTTAAGACATCCTCGTACAAGAGCTGAAACTTGACTTAACACTTGTTATAAGACTTCACTTGGGCTCGTCTAAAGAGATATGCACCAAAAGGCTCTACATAACACTGCAGCAAGGCATGTGTGGAGCTTTTAAGAATGAGCCGTCTGTGTGTTTTAATTACTGTGTTCGTAGGCAAGTTGCTGTCTAAGGGCAGACACAACTCCACAAGCCTGCTACTGGTACACCACATTCAAGTAGGCAAGAGCAATGATTGCCTTTCCCTCCAGACAAGAGATGAACGTGACATGAATGAGGCATAAGCAACAAGGTCAAAGTAACTGTTTGGTTATTTTCTGTTTTTCATAGAGGACCGACTCCATAATGTGTTATTCAGACCCACAGAAACATATTTGACCTGCCCACTATACTGTGCCTCCTACTGTGGCAGGCAGAGAGATCCCCAGCCAAACAGAGTAGCTGAAAAAGTATGTACTGTAGATCTATCATTAGGAGGAAAAGGGAAAACGTCAAACCAAAGAACAAATTCATAGTCTACTTGTATGATCAGTGGTCTTGAAAGCATATCACCTCTTTTATCATTCAGGCCCCCCCCCCCCCCCAAAAAAAAAAAAAAAACCCACATTCCATCTTGGGTTTTGACTCATAGTTTAACAACCACAACTTCAGAAAATTGGTATCAGCTCTTTTTCAAAGGCTGACCTGCTGGCACTGCCTTAAAGAGCATCGCTCAGGGCTGTAGGGTTAACATCACATTTATCACTTTTATCTAAATGTCATGTATGAACCTATCAAAAGGAATTTAGCACCATGACAGATCATCAGATGAAAAATGGCCTTTGGATAAAAAAAGAACAAGTTATGGGTTTAAATAGCCAAGTTTTAGACTCCTCTTAGATGTAAAGGATACAATATTAGCCCTAAAACTGCTATAAATGTTATCTTTATGTTTTTTTGTGATTTTTTTTAGTAGTCTCCACAGCGAAGAATGAAAATGCAGCAGCCAAGCTTTTGACGTGTCCACCGAGCAAAAAAAGGCAGCGGAAATTCTGCACTATCCACAAATGCAGACAAGCCACTTTGCTGATGTGGAGATACCAAAGAAGTAAAAACAGCTCAGGGCCTTGAACAAACCAAACCGTGAAGGGAAAACCACTTCCGTGCCTTGTTAGGTTGGTCTCAGCCAACGGGCCAGACTTTTACTTTGTAAGTGAAGGATTTTCTTGGCTGTCAGTAAAATTATCCTGCAAATCAGGCAAATGTTGGCTTGGAATTCATCTCAGAGAGGTGCATGACCTGACCTGACGGGACCTGAGATTCTCTTAAAACTTCAATTCATGCAGGCACTGAATAATGTTGGAAGTATGATTGTGTGACAAAAGCAAACAGTTTCAAAGTAGCATTCCTAGATGGTACCATGTCTGTGTGTCTTTAACATTTGGAGCAGTTTGGTTCCGTCCTCTGGGACACTTTAATGCTAAATCAGGAGAAGTGAAAGCCTCTACCAACACTCAGAGCTTCACTCGCAGTAGACAGATATTTAAGAGAATATCCAGAATTTCAGGGTGTAAACGTAAAAGCAGGGAGGAAGTAGACAGTGTTTAATGTAAACAAGAATTCATTATAGTATCCATGGTCAGTATGTTTATCTGACATAGAAAGGGATTGCAGGGGATAGAATGGACAGCAGTGTTTTTCTATCTTTCTTCCCTCCTCCTACTCAGAGTCCATCAAACAGTCTGAATGTGTGTGTGTGTGTGTGTGTGTGTGTGTGTGTGTGTGTGTGTGTGTTGTGTGTGTATTCTCTCAATGAGTTCCAGACCTGCATCGCCACAAAAAAAAAAAATCCTATCCCCCACTCTCCTGGTAGGGGAGATGTGGGTGGGGTCTTTGGTTGAGGCTTTCTTCCAAACTCTCATAAAGGATTACTTTCAGCAGGATCTTAATCTCCAACTATTTCAAAAGTTGGTCATGCACACCCAAAGCCCTTATTCCAAACAAACTTCATTGCCACTTGTATTTGTAAGAGAGTAATGGAAACTAAAAAGAAGAAACCATTGTTTTGGCCAGTCAGGCTTTACACAAGATGACAATTCAGCCGGGACAAAAGTGCAGCTAAACCAAGAAAACAGCCCATAATGAATGTTATGCATTGTAACCATTTAGTTTTATGATCACAGGTAGAGTATTCTCAGGTGAAATTGGAAGATATGTAATGTTTCCCCCGAAGGCTCCAACAAGACTCTGTATAATTGTCTAGTATGTCTATGGGCTATATGCTTAGTCAGGTGAACGTTTAAAGATCAGATGTAAAATTATTATTTCTTCATTCAGAAAGTTAGTTTAAGGCCAATGGTGGTTGCAGCAGTTTGTTCAGGTTGGTTCTTTTTTTTGTGAAACATATTTTGCTTCTCTCAGTTCATTTACAGCCTGTGAGTGAGTCATTGTTGTCCACATTTTAACCCTTTGCCTGCAAGTGTGTGATGGAGAAGTCAAGAATGAGGTAAAAACACAACACTATACAGCGAGGGGGAAATACAGAGCGATTGAATTGATAATCCAGGAGTTCACTATTCTTTGTGTTTGGTTATGTGCATGTTTTGGCAACATCTTATCATAAGTAGGTCTGCCACAAACAATTAAAGTGTAAGTTTTCTAGATAAGTTGATTAATTTTTTTACCTTCGTCCAACCAACGGTCCAAAAGCCAAAAGGTATTAATATAAATAGGAGAAAGCAGTAAACCCTCAAATTTTTTTGACAAATTACTTAATTTAATATCAAAATAGTTCTTCCTCTGTTCACATTAAACAAGCCACAGTTGTATGCGTATTATGTATGTGTGTGTGAAAAAGCCTTGGGGGACACTGTGTGTTTAACTCTTACCTGGTAGGAAAGGAATGATCCTGCGCTTAGGGTCTTTCTGGCCTCCTTCCACTGGGAATTTGTCCAGCAATTCCATCTGAAACACCACAATCAATTAAGACTTACTTGCCCACAACGCATTTACACTCACATATATATACATAAACATGTCCTTTACATTACACACCACAGGATAGCTGAGGCTGGAGAGGAAGGGTTCACATTTTTACAAATCAGCAGTTCCTACAAGGAATTCGGCCAACAAAGGAAGTCTGCCAATGATTAGGAATGTCCTGAGCAGATGGTATGGTTTTTCCCCCTCTGCTTCATATGTTGTTGCAGCAAAGGGGCTGTTAGCGGCAAGGCACCACTGACATAGTGGAACATTTCTGTTTCTATAATTTTCAAGGCCAGAGAGCAGTGGTTCCTTAGATCTGCTGATCACCACTTCTCTTGATCATTCTTTTCCATCTCTTTAAAACTCCCTCTGTCTTTCGGAGTCAACCCTTTATTTCTACTTCAACACTTTTAGACCATTTGATATAAAGGGACACACCATTTATTCAATTAATGGCTAGATTATTTGATCAGCTTTCGTTAGCAGTGTCAACCAATGGGCCAAAAAGGACCTGCAAGTTTTTGTTCCAACCAAAGACACTATTAGGGTGTTGTCAAAACTAATAACACCACTCTGTAGTGAGTTTTTAGCATACAGTTTCCATCATCAAACCACATTCATTTATCAAAACAGGACATACACAGTCAGTTACAGTGATTCATTTTGTTTCAGTACCAGGTTTTGATACAAACGGCCAGACAAATGAGACAGATGAATGAGTGACAGTCTCATATGTAGACTTCCCCAGTTGAAGTTTGTCAAGCTTTAACTAAAATCGTGGTGACACCACAATGTATGATCTTGCGCCCCAAACTAACAAAAACAGCATTGCATTGTTAAGGATTAAGCCGGTCTATAGTTGCAGTTAGAGCTGGCCCATGTGAAGGCTACTATGACAGGACTATCACATTATGAGATTAGCTGCATTTCTCACTGTGGTCTGTTCAATGTCAACCTGATACAATGATATCTATCAAGGCTGTGCTCCGTGAAGACATTTAAGGGTCACAACTAATTGGCACTCCAGTATTTCACACCAGGGATGATTTTCATCCCCCCCATTGTTAAATATCGCTGTACCTTGACTGGTATGAGATAATCATTTCTAGAATATGCAGCACATGCAATACCCAACAAGAATGTTCTAGAGTTGGCGTCTCGGTATGTTTAGTCTCAATGGCTAACTTTCATTTTTTTTTGCTTTAATTATTCATTAAAGTTCATCGCTGGAGATACAGTAATACAGCATGCATTTGGATGGGCGCTGGGGAAAAAAAGGAAACATGATATATGTTCAAGCATCCAAGAGGATATATGTTTTACAGGTGAATGAATGTCGAAAGATTTTTGTTTTCCCTGCCCCACTTTATTTCTTCACTACCTCTTGCTCATGTTTCTCCATTTGTATAACTTTGAACATGTTGTGCAACAGCCTTATTCCATATACAAGGTAGTTCAACAATCTCATTTGAACCTAATCTTCAAGACCTCCTGTTGAACTATATGAGCCCCCAAATCTTCAAGCATGCCAAGAAATAGACACTGGCTTTAGAATCTGAACCTACTCTCCCACTTCAACTGGCTTTTGTAAGTTATAAGGCCTTACGCTGGCCAAACAATAATAACAAGTATATATATATATATATATATATATATATATATATATATAAAATAAATAATCCAATAACATTCTTAGATTTCATACCTCACAGACACGAGCTTTGGTACTAATTGCATTTCAGAAAACGTGTGAATCTCAAACCAACCGAGGTTGTTATTAATCACAACTTTGTCTTGGATTTGTTTGTAAGAAAAAATTAATTATGAAGGGGGCATGTAAAATACTTTGAATGTCAAGCCAGACACGGTTGCACTTCAATGTCTTGTCTTTGGCTATGACTGCTAAAGCTCAGTTCATTTCCCACTGTGAAACAAAAGACAATAAAAAGAATGGGGGTAGTATAGTGAGCAATGAACCCTCTTTGGTGAGTCAGTCCATTTAGTCTTATTGTTTCTCAAGATACAGCAGAAGGCGAAAAAGGAATTCAGACAAAACAAAGCACTAAACTCACAAAGCAACAATCTACTTGGCTTATCAGTCAGATGCCTCAGCAATGACACAGTACCAACTTAAGAGACACAGCATGAGCAAAGAGACAGGCAGACGGAGGGACAGAGACAAACACAGAAGAGCCAATACCCCACACACTGTAATTGTTCCCATGTGTCTGACTGACTGTGAGTGCAGAGTAGACACACCCAGTCTCTGAGTCTACTCTAAACCTTGTATCTACTCTGTAATCAGAGCCACTCAAACAAGAAAAAGCATCTGGAGAGAGTAAAGACGTCTCTTCAAAATACCAGTTACATCATGCGCCCAACATCAAATATTCATGCTCTACAGGCAGGAGGATGACAGGCCAAGGTGGAACACAGAGAAGTGCCACATGACTTTCCAAGGCTAAATTCTGAAGTATGTTATGTTAAGTAAATTATATCCTGCTGAGTTCATCTCAGTTGGAAGGAAATGCGTGCCACATTAGTACTATAGTAGAAATACATAGAACAATAGCTTAGAAAAATAATTTCAGTCTATGACGGCATCAGCTCTGGATATTCACTATATCTCTGTACTTCATTGTACTACGTCATTGTGTCAGAATATTCAAAACTCAAAAGTTAAGTTTCAACACTTGAAATACAATAAACTTTTTTTCACAATTAATTGACTAAATAAATATATGTGTTGTAAATATGTGTCAATTGGCACACTTCAGTCATTGATTGACTACAGTTAATAAACCTTTCCATCTTCAACATGTCACATTACTAGTCTGGTAATATGCCCAATAATGTGCCACTGTACTGTACACTGTTGTGTACCAAATTCTTGCTGATGCAGAGGCTAACGCAATCTTCTAAGGGGCTGTAATTTGTCTAGTTCATATCTGCTTTAACCACATCATCAAATAAAGGCATAATATAGAAAACATCTGAGACAGACAAGACTTTCTTGAATGAGGGTTCAAAAGGCCAGAGAACAATAGCTGCTCTCTTTGCAACATGCCTATCACAGTAGTCCTCCGATTCTTTTACTTTGTCCACTGTACATTCATGAGGTCATTTTTAACCCTTTGCAGAAACCATATTGTTAATGAAGGCTGAGCTGTTGATACACTTTTTAAGTATTAAGAATAAAAAAATATATTTGTGGCATCCGTAAGCAGGCATGGATAATGGCTGGATGGATGAGTAAATAACATCTATTTATCTTTAATATACAGAAGACCTCAGTGTCCCCGTTTTAATACTAACAGACAGGTTTGATTAATACTACATGCTGATGTTAGCTTATAAACACGTAGGCCAATTTCTAGGGACTTGTGGATGATATTGGTGCCTAGTATTGAAAAGCCTTTAAACATGTACAGTATGTCTGGACTCCTTGTCTCTTTAGACACATATGACACAATTTTTCTAGTTTCATGTAGGCCTACTGTCCCACCATCCCCACACTAATAAGGCACATTTTCCATCCATCCATCAATTATTACACTATACCCACTTCTTCTATTCTTGGTCTATCCATTTTATAGACAATTGCAAATCATGCTGGCTAATCCAAATCAAGATAGCTCAATGACAGCACATTGTTAAAGAACATTATGGTGAAAAACAAAACAGAGCGTGCCCAGCAGTCATAATCAAACACATATGAATAAGCAAGTTATGCTTTAGAACTTTGGTCTTCAATTTTACTAAATTATGAAGAATACAGTCCCAGCAATAGTTCATTTTCATCTGCAGTGGCAAAGGTGATTTCAGTGCATTAAATAGTTTTATACAAAACACTTAACATTATTGTTTTTTTCTTTTAACAATATTCAGTCCACACCATCTAGATCCCGAACACAAATACTGTTAACAGAACTTCAGTAAATTGTGTACCTATCTTTCAGCATTCCCTTAGAAAAAAAACACATGTTGTGAATTATTGTTCCAGGAACAAATGACACTGCTTAAGGATTCACATTTTATTCTGAAAATGGCTGGAAATAACTGTGTACACGAAGGAAATGAGTACATTGTTGCTGCTTGGTGGAATGTGCACAACAGGCAGTCCCATTGCTCTAAGCAAAATAAACTGCCCCCCTTTAAAAACGTTTTGTTACTTGATTACTGCAGATGGAAAATATGTGACAGCTGTGTAGCTCCGGATAAGCAAGAAGCAATGGATTGGATTTTTTCCTACAGCTTTAAAGTAAAACTTTATCCTGTATCCAAAGAGACTGGGAATGCTGGCAGACTAAGCTTGTGAAGTTGAGTGAACACGTGTGCAGCATGGAAACTGTTCTTAGTGACATGGAAATAAAATTGATGACACCGTGGCAAAAAGAAAAAAAGAAAAAGGCTGTACTTTCCATCCTTCTTAAGCAAGAGATCGGTCTATTTGTGTTAACAATTTAACACACTAAAACAGAGAGTGAGAAAAGCACAGGTCTTATATTAAAGTGCTATTTGCACAGTTCGTTCTGATCCTGTCACACCATCACGTCCTGCACTAGTATGCAGAAATGGATGCAAAACTCCCTGAATATTTAGGGGTAGTAGCTACATAGAGACTGTGGTGTGGGGTTCCAGGAAAAAGGTGGGTGACAAGTAGCAGAAACATCTCAGGTGAGAAGAGTGTCCGGATGTTGGTCAAGTATTCTCAGGAAGTGACTGCTGTCAGACATGCAAGATGTCATGCACTAGTCTAAACATGAATGATCTTCTTGTTCCAAACAGTGCATTTGATGTGGTGGAGTTTATTCTTTACTATTTTTGGTTATCACCTCCATTTACAGGTGAATCAATACTTGGCAAGTTATCGCAACAGAACTGGTTTTACAAAAGGCAAAGGAATGCAAATTAGTGATACGATTATTATTATCTAATGACATCTTCTGGACCATTAGGATCACCATCTGCTCCATACAACTTGGTCCAGATATATTGAATAGTAACTAATAATGTGCCATCTGATTATAGAATATGGATATATGGATTGGAACAACAAAGCAGGTCTAGAAAAATACAAATTCCCTTAACAATAGTAGAAATCTTATTGAAGTCACTGAGTGAATAAACAGCCTGTGGTCAGTGTTCCACAGAAAGCACACGTTTCCTTGGTTGAACTACGGCATCAGCTGCTTAGTTCAGCTGTGTTGACAGGATGTGGTGAATAACACTTCCTGTCTGGCTCTGAGGCTTTTGGTACGACCAGTGACCACTTTGTGTACATTGTTTTTTTTTACAGTATCGTATTTTCTCCGTTTATATAAACCGCTCCTGAATCAAAAGAGAAGACATCAGAGAGAATAAGACAGAACAGAGCAGACAGGAAACAGCCAAGATAGGGTGGAAAAAAGCAAAGGAGGATGACATGAGATGAAGAAATGTTAACGAGAGGAGCTGCATGACTCGGTCCTATGTCACTATCCTGGCCAGGCACCTGGGATGACGCATGATGATGTCAAACCACACAAAATAGCTCATCAAAAAGATTAGAAAAACTTTGAATACATTCTACAAACAAAGCTGGCACACAAAACATGTTTAATCTCTGTGTCATATCATTCCAAGTTGCCCCTTTTCTCTAAGAAATACCTTATCTTAAAGTAGCTTATAATATGTCAATGCCAAATCTAACAGGAGATAAGCGATTGGCTTTTAATCTCTCCAGCTGAGTTTATCTATATCTCCCTCACCAGTGAGAGCCCACCCACAGGCTGTCAGCAGGAAGCAGCTTCATGGCATGGCAGGGTGAACACCAGCGGGGAATGCCCCTGCTAAAAATATCTTACATATGCTCATCTGGTTCAATGCCATTGATCCGACACTGTAGGTCTTTAGCAATGCAACTAGCAACTCTGTTTTACAACATAGAGGGATGTTTTAAAGAGGCAACCGGAGAGTTTGTGCTTCCTAGCACATAAATATTTAAAAGTACGGTCAGCGATTGATTCAGAAATCTATTTCATCCGCTGCTAAGATTTTTGGCTTTGAAAACTCACTTACACTCACTTTTTGGAGACAGAAGTATTTGAAGGATTCCCAATCTCCTCCTCTCGCTTAGTCATACCAACAAGGTCTATAAAAGCCTTCATCGTGAGCTAAAAACATCAAAGGTAAAGCAGGGCTACGGCCGAATGATCAAACGGAATTTATTGAATTACCGAAATTGTGAATCTTTCACATTGTGTTGCAATTTTGAAAACAAAGAAATACTTTGAACTCTATATATGTAATTGACAATATCTATGGAAGCCAAAGACAGATGTTCAACCATCCATGCAGCCTGAATTCCAGTCAAAAAGTCGAAGAATCTTAACAGGTCATACATTACTTAATCCAGAAAACCACCACAGACAGACACAAACACACACAGCCCTAAGATCTCCCCTACACATATCTCCTACTACCTTTAGATCAGCCATCGTTCTTGTCTCTTTTAGGAGAACGCAACTTCAATTATGAGGGATTCTACTTCATATTGGAATGCCACAGATAATAATAAAAAAAAGAGTGATGGGGTTTGTGCTTGTGTGAGACGAGTCAAGTTCTTCAACTGTGTTTGACAATAGTTCAACAGGGCAGAGCACAGATGACTTAACACTCCTTTAAAATGTTATCAGTAAAGAGCAAATAGCAGCGTTTTTACGCCAACATGTGTTGATTACACAACAAAAATGAGTGTTCAAAGCTGCACATGGACTTTTACTTTGGCATGGCCTCAACGACAGAAAGGTGCAACGATTAAAAAATACAAAGTGTGCTATGAGCTGATTTATAAGTAAGACTGTTGAGAGCTTTTGAAGCCTTAAGTCAAACTAATGACATTAGTGTTGAAATAGCTGATATACTTCCGGTTAACATGATACTTGCAGCCACGGGAAAAAACACAGTGGAGCATTATAATTCTGGATTTCATTGCTCATACTTTGACCATCCTAATCAATTAAAAGGAATTTAATCTAATTAGGGTTGACAGTATACTTCGCCTAAATTGCCTATGTGCTCATTAAAAGCAGTTGCCTTTCTGGGTTTGCTGGAGTCCATGCTGTCTAAGCTCAGCCTTGGCCAGGGCCTCAGATCCATTACCTTCGAAAGAGGAAGGGAAACCAGGATACTAATGAGATTCCCTCCTTGTGCAACACACACTGCCAGCGTGACGTTCGAGAGTGATTCAGACATGTCTGTGGTCATCAGTGTGGTCGTCGCATTCATCACTGTCCCCTATTAACTTCGTTGGGACATTTTCCGACTCCTCGCGCACAATTTAACCACCAGTGTCATATGGGGTGGAGCAGGGAGAGTTTGGCCTCAAGCCCTACGTCTACAGGGGGACAGTGTTAAATGGAGAGAGTACTTCCAGTCACTTCCTGATCTGTGCTAGTCTTCACTGGTGGAACAGTTAGACCTTGTCACACTCCTTGCTCTCTGAAACATGCAACTGCACACAAAACCACAGAGTAATAAGAAAATCTCAAACCAAGACACACTATCACACAGTTAGAAATGCAAACACGTACTCACCTGGAGGTCAAAGAACTTGCTGTAGCGTCTGAAAATGCTTTCTGTACTGCCATCACTCCAGGACACTTTGATGATGTAAACCTGCAAAAATAAAAGACAAAAATATGTTTAAACTTAAAAAAAACAGCCATTAAAGTCAACCACCTGATAATTGAAATCCCCTGGGGCATCACTCCTGACTCATGGTGCCAGTAATTGGCAGTGCTGTGTATAGGGGAAGCGTGAGGAAAGGCAGACAGCATGCTGTCATCATCCGTTCACATGAACATAATAGGGATATCCGATTATTTCAGTTCCCAGTTCATTTGCATTACTTCCTGCTGAAGAGGAAGTCATTATCCTGCATAGATGCAGCAGATTTGAAAATTACATCTATTCAAAATTGGTGCTCTTTGAGAAACATTGTTGCGGCAGCTATTGCCATAAAGACCTGAGGAGCAAAAGCAGCAATGGAGACGTCAGTTCATGAGTCTGATGTGAAGACTTCAATATGAAAAAAACATACTAAAAATGTCTGCAGACTGTCCCAACACCATTAGAATACAGAGATAAATTGTTGTTATGCTTAGTTAAAAAAAAAATGTACTTCTTGTAGCCAACATTAACATGTGCAGCTGCAAATTTCATCAGTCACATATTAACAACAGTAAAACAGCATAAAGCAATCGAACCAAGAGCACATAGCCTGATCATTGCAGTCTGCAGGCAACAGACACAGTTCTTTATTTTGTCCTCTAAAGAAAAAGAAGAGGGGAGAGGCAGGGAGGTGATTGGAAACTCCCCGGTGGCTGACTGTGTCTGGCTGAATGCTGTTGGCCCCGCTCCCAGACCTTCTCTGGCCTCGCTCCCTCTTTCAGGGCAGTAGAGTCAGATACAGCCATGGATGGACCAACTACTGGAGCTATATAGACCAGCAGGGAGGCTGTCTTCATCAAATAAAAAGAGCTATATGTCACTGTGTGTAAATGTTAACCAATGGAGGGCCATCTACACAATAACATAAACTAGTGACAATTTTCTTCGGGTGTTGTCTCTGGCATCTAATTTATTTGCTTCATTCTCAACATTAAGGAGAGAACCATTATTCAAAAAAGGTTTCCTTTTCCATGCTACAGTCTATAAATGTAATGAAGACAAATAAGCTTTCGAATCTGCAAGTACAACACCTATAATGCCAAATGCGGCTGAGGCCATAGCTCTGAGGAAAACAGGGAAAGCTATAACTTTAGCTATAAAAGCTTCTCATTGAAAGACTAATTCTGGCAATAAAAGGCTCTTATATCTGTAAGTCTCTTAGGAATGTGATTTTTCAGGTGTTATTTTTCCCTTTCTGAATGATAGGTTCAACTCTGATAAGCAGAAGAGCTATAAGCTGCTTTTCGTACAATGAACTGCACCCTAAGGGGTTCTGGAAGATTTAGGGGTGTACGGCCTGCATGTGTAGAGAGAGTACCAGAGGCACAGAACAACATGGGCTGCACCAGAGAGCAAACAGACAGGTGGAGAAGACACGGGACCTCGAGAACTCTGTGTCCTTGACCACTAACACTCACAGCGGTATAAGGTCCGTTGGTCCTTCAAACCGGGCATCATTTTCACATACGAGTGCGAACCAACATATGCACACAGGCGCACACACACAGGCACACACACCATGTACACGGAACTAACACGAACACCTGCTAAGGCCTTGGCAGTGGCTCTCACTGCTGGCCCTCTGAATCATATGATGACATATGTGTTACTTATTAAAAAACGAACCGTGTGCACTTTTCGCAGAATAATTCACCCACATGCATCCCCCAGAATGACGAAAGCTCCGCTGTTCGAGAATTGCAGAAAAGCGAGCAATGGATCTTTGTCTTCTTGACATTCTTGTCTCCCACACAACGTTGCAGTACCAGTGGGGAGTGATTGTTGAAACAGGAGAAATATCCACACATCAACTCTTTTTCCTCCATCTCTCCCTTCTTTTCTCCTGCACCCCCCCCCCCCCAATAAAAACTGTACAATATACTGTACTAAAAAAAACTGGGGTAATAAAACTACAAACGCCACATGACATATGGTTTGTTATGTCTCGGCCCTTCCCTTGCTCAAACATTGCCTTGTGTTCACTGTGATGACCTCAGAAGCTCTACTTCCTGGTTTCCAGTGCCTGTAGTTGTATGTTTTCTCTGAGTAAATTGGAGAGGCTGAGGCATGACAAAGCTGAAATGCTCAATTTAAAGTCTGGGGGATTAGTCTGGATGTTTTGTGGACTGGACTGATTTGTCTATTAAAATGTTTCCTGATGGCACACACGGGGCAGCAGGCATATGAGAAGCACTAGGAATTATTTTTGTTGGACAACAGAGTCTGGTAGAATTAGTACAATACCTATATTCACTTATATGAATGTGATATTAAATTGATGATAGTCACTTGAACGTATGCTGACTCAGACGGGGTCAGAAGTCACATGAGCCACATCCATTTAGGCGCTCCTTGACCTTATCCAAAACAACAGTATTGACTGTAATCCCTCCGAGAAACAGACAAAAGTTTGAGGTTAAAGCTCAAATCCCAAACAAAGAATTGATAATACAGGCGACTACATTTTCTCCAGTCAGGCTCTATTGTAAGATAATGCTTTACTATAAAATCATGAAGAATCGTAACAGTCCACTTGGTCTGGCTGTGTAAACTGTAATTTGATACTCTCTTTGTTTTTACTTCACCCGACAGGAAAAGAGAGAAGAGTCGCAAAATAACCTCGAACTGTTGCTCACTTTAAACAGCACAGCGGTGTTGTTATGATAATAAAAGTCGGCTTACGTAATGTTTGTTCGGATTTCTTCGTTTCTGGACATCTTGCACTATTACTTCTTGCACTGTGCGCCGTGGCATGTTGTCCTCTTCTTTACGCCTCCGTTAAAACAGGAAAAAAACTGAATCCCCGGTTGGGTTTTACGAGCGATCAAACCCGGTTGAGAAAGTTTGCACGGAGACGCTTCTTTGTCATCCGCGCCGCTCAGACCCGTTTCCTCTAAATGCAACAAATGCTATTTTCCCGTAAATCTGACTACGTCAAATGTCCTGTCCTGCGTTCCGCCGTTTAGAAGCCAGAAGTTAACAGTCGGTCTGTTCTTCGTTTCCCCTCGTCGTGCGCCTTGTCCCGTCCCGCTGACGGCTCCAACCAAACTCCCAGCCTATCCCAGCTCGCCCACTCCCACTCGAGCAACTGGGACGCTTCAGAATGCTCCATGGACCAACCCCTCCAACGTCAGAGCAGACCACAGGCTGCGGGACCACTCAGCCGCCGGTTCAATCTATGCACTTGAAGCTGTCAACGAGACTGCATGTATCAATGTCATTAATCCACAAAATACACAGATTTCAAGAGTGAAATAAATATTTTATACTGAAGAAAAAATAATTATTAAAATCTTTGAGGGCGCAGACAAACGCAGCATCCTTCCGGGCACTTGAGCAAGATACATTGTTTTTTTCTGAACTAATTTGACTGAGTTATTTCAGCATACTCTAGCTATATGCCATCTGTTGCATTCTTTAAGAGCACAGAAACCTTTTTTTGTCAGGTGACACATAACCTAATGTAACCCAAACCATGTCTGAAGAACTTCATGGACACCAAATGTGTTCATTTGAATATTATGAACTAATCAACTAGTTATATAATTTCACACACCTGAACTCAAATGTTCAGTCAAACCGTCAGGTCACAGTGGACTGGTGGACAGCGTCGGCGCTGGTTCTGACCTGTGTTTTGGTATAATTTGGTTGGACAATGGTTGCAGCACTTAATTTGTGCCATACATCAAGCCTTAATTTTCCTGGGACATTGTCCCAGGTGGCAGACAGATTTGCATGGTAAAAGCAAAGAAACTTGTCTGTTGCCACTTTAAACTTAACCTATAAAACTTCACCAAGGTCTTCTCTCCTCATTTGCTAGTTATTTCACACTCTCCACAACCTGTGGTGTTCAGGTGTTATGGATGGCAGTATGTACATAGGATCTTTTTTTTTTTGCCAAATCATAATTTCTATTTATTTAGATAAGTTGAGCTACTCACAATCTTTCCAGGCACCCTCTGGACTGAAGTAGGTTAACCCATAGCATAGGCAGACAAGTATCCCTGGTTGGTAGGCCAATACAAAAGACAGCCCAGGTTAAAGTGTCTAAAGCTATTATGTTGTTTGTTGCACACACTCTTACTCAATATGAAAATGTCTAAAAGGAAATAACATACAGGTACATTCCAAGTTTCATGATAATTGGACAAACGTCTGTTAACAGTATGTATGGCTTATTTTATAATTTGCACACGTGTACTTATAGTTGCACTATTGCTTGTGCATATAACATTATCTGCTTTTCAACCTAAATCCACCAAATTGCTGAGAGGAACTGTTGAGCTTGACTCACTGAGATTGCAACACATGATACTACCATGTGTTTATGTTGTTAATAGTTCTGTATCAGTCATGAGGTTATGGGATGGGTTAAACTGGAAGTGTGCTAATTTTGTTCCAGGAAAGTGCTTTGTAAGTAGAAAGTTGTCATTGTTCCTTCCAATTAATATCTCAGAGTTATGTTGCAATTTATAGTTTTAGATTTAACTGTTGTTATTTTGCAAGTAAGTACAAAAAACAAGAACAACAACGTTGACACTTTTATATACAGGTTTAAAAATAAAGAGCTGATGACCAAGGTTGAGATTTGACAGTTTTGTTGCTAAACAGCCCCATCTTTTGGTGTGTTGTACTCATTACAGTTAGACTGTATCTGTGGCAGTTCTCCCCAACTTGCAAAAACACAGGCCTTGCTATACAATTACAGCTGATTGATAATGATGGGTGCATTATAGGGGGATGTTGGGAGTCCGAATTGTCATAGCAAGTAAGTATTGAGAATATTTAACTTTGTTTCTTTTACAGACCAGTCATGATATTATGTGACTCCCAATTTGAACTTATCACATCCTACATTGTACTTCCTACTGGGGTCGTAGAAATTAAAAAACATTCGAATCAATAGCAGAAATTAACTTAAGTCTTAATTGCATCATTCCAATGGGCCTTTAACAAGATTACGTTAAAGGGGTACGACTCCATGTTTAGGGATGGAAAAAAATGTCAAGCGAACTTTATAAGAATAAACATGGCATTCAGTGGAAAGATGCTAATAATACAAAACATGTCAAGAAAAATGTAGAAAAGGAGATAGGGGATCATCAGTCACACAGAAGTTCTCCATCAAAGACTGATGTGGTTAAATTGCCGGCATTAGGGGAAAACATGATTTAGTTCTCATAATGTGAGACAATACTGAAATACTGTCATTAGATCGATCATTGTTTTGTGCGGCTATATTCTATAAAGAATACATAATTAAGACTGTTGAATAATAGGCCATATTTTAAAGAGTGTATAAGATAAATACATTCTTATTGATGGCTGTTCTGGAAATATTCTGGAAAATTGTGACTTAGCACATATTAGATGAGATCATGCTTCATTTAAATATATAAATCTACATTTTCAGAAAACTTATAATGTAAAACCAATTGTCTTAATGTTCTATAAGTAATCAATTGGGGAACTTTCATAGCAACATCTATTAGTTATTTTTTTACCCCATTCCCCTGGGTTGTCTCCCCTATGAATTCCTGTTATTAAATTGTAAACGATGTGTACAAATGTATATTACACCTGTGTCAATGAAAATGTTATGTCCACCCAAGAAATATAATGTAGATATAATAGATATAATGTGGAGACAGCTGGCTTTTAATTGCTCATTTGTCATTTCAAATGGATCAATGTAGGCTCAGGTCTTACCATCTCCCTCTCACCATTCTCTTGACAAAAACATGCAAGCTGCCAACTTAGAAACAAACAACCTAAAAGTAGGCTAGCCCAAAACACAACACCATCATTAAGAGCTACAAGCTCCTAATGATCACCGTCTCAGCATTTATGTGGGTATCATGGCGAGGTAATGCGTCTCTGTGATCTCTAATCATGTCTGTGTTTTACCCTGAGATGAAAGGAGCTGACAGTACATGTGTCCTGATAATGCAGTTCAATCAGGGGTAGAGGCAGGATGAGGACTAATGATGTCTACGCATCACTCCAGCGCCTTATCAACTCAGGATGCTCTCAAAATACACACACTCATGTATACACCGGCACACATATACTGTACATTGCAAAAGCATGCATTGCTCCGCTGCCAGGCTCCACCCACACAAACACACAAACGCTGATGCACTGCTTTGTTCTGTAATGACGCCTTAGTGGGGGTCATTACTCATAAACAGCCTTTGATGGGGTTTCACATGCAGCTGGGTCCTGGTGTTAGAGGCAACCAAGAGTTCAATGGAGTCCCAGCCCCCCCCTCTCCAACACCTTGACTAATCCCACTAAATCACTCCTTTTCATTCCCACCGAACGCCTCCGCCATAATAACCTAACACCACCTTTGCCCTAGCCATGGCCCCCCCGTACACTATAGATTACAGGAATTTACTTGCAGGGGTAACAATACAAGATTACATTGGCTTAATAAACTCTGCTTATTTATGAGCATTTCTGCTGTAGCAAATATCAGAATAAATTCAATATGTAATTTCTAGAGAACTGAGCTGATCTGCCCAGCGATTTTTAGCCATGCTAGCTACGTGGCACTAGGGATGGCAACGTCAGTCAGTTGGTTGGTCCACCAATTTTATCCCGACTGAAATAATTCAACAACAATTGAATGGATTGCCATGAAATTTGGTACAGATATCCTTATTGCCCAGGGGATGACCAAATGACTTTGGTGAGTCCCTGGATTTTCCTCTAGCTTTTATTATAATCTAAAATGGTGATTAATAATCTCCAGAAGTGTCTTTCCCTTGCTGCACTGACTTTCAAGTACTGTATTGACATCTTGTCCTCCTTACTATTATTGAGAAATTTGAGCCCATTATACTGATTTCCAGCAGGCACTTTCCGCCTCACCGGACCCGCCAGAGAGCCTGAGAATGGAGCATTGACAATACCATAGTCATCACACACCAGGTCCACTGCTTTATGTAGGCCATTATCTCGGTAAAAAAAAGCGACAGAGAAGATTGGAATTACACAGATATTGTAAAAGGCCTGTTTCAATTAGTCATATTTCAAGGAAAGAAATTCTATGGATGCAGTTAGTACATTTCTGAAATAGTCTGCTCAGCACTCCACCCAGAGAAAGTTAGACTCATCATCTATATAACTTTGGTCTCTCTTGTGTCTTCAGTATGGGCACAGATTTGGTTGTGAGGGAGATGACATCAGCCCTTACTAAAGTTATGATACTTAATCCATTTTATCTGTGATGTGGAGCTGTCGTCATGTCAACCACATAACCAGATTGATGTCGAGACATGTCAGAAGTCACACAGTGAACATTTTAAGAGATTATGCGACACCAGAAATGCTGCATTATAAAGTCACCTGCACTTGGAAGCTCTCGTGCTGCAGCTTGTGTAATCTTCTTACATGTTGAAATAAGGCCAATTAGAGCAGAAAGACACTATTCAAAGTCATCTATTGATGTCTCTTATATCAGTGAAACTGATACAGCCTCACACCCACTATAACACATTTTTCTGACTATCTTTTAATCCCAAATAGGCACAAAAAAAACCAGCAGTGGGTTTGTGTGACTGTCTGTGAAAGAAGCAGTCCATTTCTCACCTTATAGCCTTTGTAATATATTCATGTTTGTGCTGGTAAGTGTTTGTAATCATGTGTGGCTGTGACACTATACCTGCCATACAACATTGCCGCGTTTTGGCCCCTGAACACTTGTCCTTTAGGTATCGGCCTCGGCAGACGTATCGGTTAGGCTGGCAGAGGCCTCCAAGTCTGCTGCAGCTGATGTCACTTCTTGGTCTCATGGAAACTCTCTTACTTCCTGGCATCTTAACCTTCCTCCTTAGCTCTCCCATTATTTGCTGTTGCGTAATTTTTCTTCACTTTGACGTCACTGTCAGCGTTCTTGTCAGGGCTTTGGAATTCTTCACCTTTCTTCTTTTCATGCTCTAAAGCACAATTTAACAGGCAATCTTTAGGAGATATGAGGTGAGAGTTATAGAGGGAGGATTAAAGATGAGAATTTGGCTTGAAACAACTTTCTGGGATTAAGGATTAGTCAAA